CCCAGCACCTTCTTTTCATACGATATTCAAATTGGTCCGCAAAACCTCCACCTGGCACTCGGAGCCGAACTATCTACACCTTTGGCGGCGCAATCCAAACTTCCTGCACCTGGGGCGCCTCCAATTGCACCTTCGAGCAAACCATCCCAACAAATGGTGTCTGGTGGGAAACGTAATTCTGGTCCCAATGAATTGCACGGTCAATCACCCATTCCCAAAAACAAGGCTCAAGACACCGAGACACAGACCCATGAAGAGTCGTCTGCTCAGGTAATCGTTCCAGATTTTGGCAAAAATCCTCCACCACATGAGAAAATGCACGCCGAAGAGGTCTATCAAACTGACAAGATACACCAGGTTCGACGATGGCACTCCAGAGACCACAAGGCACACAAAATTCATGAGCACAGATCAAGATATCGATTAAGACAAGACAAAGACGCACCCGATGGCTCTCACATAGCTCCATCAGAAACCATTGACAGCACCATTCAAGATACTTCGACCAAATCGACGCTATCGTTATCATCCAAACCGCCTATGGTCACGAGCTCACGGACAGCCTCATCTAGTAACTCAGTCCCTCTAAGCCCAGCGCATCAAGCCATACAGCGCGGTTTCTCTGACGGATTCATGACAGCCAAGCTGTTTGCCCAACAAGGTCCTGGTATGTCTCGTTTGGGATTCAAGTGGCAATACGTTGAAGACTCGCTGCGAGCGCATGGATCATCAATCATTGTCCCAGGAAAAGAGGGCTATTATCGCGAGTGGTTTGACAAGGGGCTCGTCCAAGGAGAGATGATGGTGGCACAAGTGATTGAGAGGATGAATGCTGCGTAGGAAACAAAGCAATATACGACCGTATTTCTTTCACAGTTTTATGATACGCCCGTTCACGAACCCATGAAGTCTCCGTTAGTGTGATTAAACCTAGTGCTTCGGGTCACTCTATCAATTAGGGGCGGGGAGAGGCTGTCATTTTCTTCATTTGATGTATTCGGTCCGCGGCCTATCCTTGCTCCCAAAAATTTTGTACGTATTTCAGCATAAATATAAACAATAACTGATATTTTTAATGCCTTTTGGCATAGTGCAAGTCTTCAAGAGTCGTTCGATATTCTCCTGCCTTTCCTTAGCCTTGTCCACATTTGTCCATGTACAAACTTAGACATATCCATTGATGGCCGTTGATATTAACCGACGCTACGAGCTCCGACACGCTCGAGACCTGCGTGAAAACGTAGTAGGACCCAGAGAAGCTGTCTCCCACTCAGCTGGGACGACCACCCAGCGTCGCTAATTCGATGGTGGGAATTAATAAACGAATCATTCTAGAGTCATCAGAGTCCTCTCTGTCAACGCTCTTGAAAAACTCACTTGTACCTCTCACATCCCACAATCATACTGTCTCGTCACCCGAGACAGAGGCGAGCCGGTGATCATCTGGTGAGAATACGATCGAGAATACCCGATCCATGTGTCCTTCGAGGGGAATCCCGATTTGTTGACTCGTCTCTGCATCCCAGTTGACATAGCCCATGAGAGCGCGCTAAATTTTAAGTCAGATGTGCGCACACTCACCCATATTTGCAATTGATCTCTTTCAGACGCTTTTCATAGCCTGCGATGGTGCTTGCTTCCAGCTTCGTCGTGCCGATGCGTTGAGCCAGTAGTTTCAGATTGAGAACTTTCTCAGAACTGTATTTCTTCGAGGTTGGAATCCACGCAAGTTTGGCAGTCACCTCTTTGAACGTGCTGTTAACGGTGAGCTCGGCACGAGAGAAGACGGCAGACATACGTGAGATAACTTGTAATTGCGCGCTTTATGGACTCTTTGCAATCCTCAAGTACATCATTGATGCCCAGCTGATCAGGCTGACCTTGAGGCGCCGTGGTGTGTGCTCGAAGGGTCTGCAAGAGCTCAAACCACGCGGGCTGATTATCCTTGACAGCCCAGACTTTGAGTACGTACACACAATATGAACAGAACTTACTCTAAGAACGTCACAACGGCCTCACAAACTCGGGAGTATCTGCGATGCTTTTTGTAATGTTGAGTGTCAGGACTACTCGAACGTACCATCTATCCATCCTGGATCCTTGTCTTGAACCATTGTTGGTGGATTGCTGTAGTCCGTTGTCCATCGGTCCCAGAGCTTGTTGTTGGCATATCTGACCCATCTGTTCGATTATCACCCACTAGTTCATCGTCGTTTGAGGCGGCGATATTCGTGCCCGCCTGGATAAACCCTGATACGATGACCGTTATGTCATGGCAACTGAGTGTCGTTGGATCTCTTGGATTTCTTGCGCGGTCTTTGGAATAAATCCATGAAAAGGTTTCCCAGGAGTAGGGACGAGGTGGAGGACAAACCTAGTGTGTATACAGTTTGTCAGTCTCCACCGCAATAGCGCTCGTCCTTGGGCGCGCAAGGTACCGGATTTATGTCCTGCGCCGCCAACGCAACGACACTTCTTCAGGTTTGGGTACATAAGGGGACATCGATGCCGCGCTAGGGATTCATCTTCCAGATATCGATGGCCAAGCGTCCAGATCGCGCAGACACGCCTGTCGGTCATGAGGGCCAAACCACAAGCAGTCTAGATCCTCCGTCGAAACTCTCGCATGACCTTGTCACTCGCCGAGTCCCAATGCCCGTTCGTGGCTTGGACCCAACCACATCTGCGACAGGCGATTCGGACGACAAGCGTCAACGAGAAGAAGAAATTGAAGCAAAAAGTCAGGCCAATAGGGCCAGATACGAGCAGAGCATGTTTGGATTCAGCTCAAACGGCGATCGACGAACGTTCAGTCATGTCCACACCAGTGCACCCGCAATGTCCAGACGGCAAGAAAGCGAAGATGGCGAGAATCAAGACGACGGAGGATCGTTTTACTCGTATAATTCGGCAAGAGACGTGCGGCTATTTGTCAAGGAGATGCATGGTCGGTATGTACCGTTGCAGCGAAAGGAACAGATGGATGATGTCGATCAGGATCTGGAACAGTATGAACGAGACATATATGCTCCCCTCCGGTCAGTCGCGGTCGACTTTTCCACCTGCACCTTACTGAGCCTGTGTGCAGACGATACCGAGTGGCATCGTTTGTGAGTGCCCGTTCATATCGGGACACTTTGATAACAAGTAAACCTAGGAACCGACAGCATCTGGCGCATATTATCGGCCTTGGTGGTCTGTATCCATGTCCAGAGCAAGTAGAAGCGCACCTTGCACCAGCTGAGGGTGCTCGAAAACAAATTCTAGATGTAGGTTGTGGCACTGGGAGCTGGGCAATCGAAATGGCCGAGCGCTTTCCTCGTCAGTCTTGAGCCGACTTCTAATACAGACAACTCACGATGTCTCTACAGATACTCTCGTCACAGGTATTGACCTTGCACCTACGCCACTCGACACCGCCCGTTTCCCATCCAATCTTCACATTGAGATCGACGACATTAATCTCGGTCTGGCACATTTCCACGGGCAATTCGACCTTGTCCACATGCGCTGCGTTACAGGTGGCATCAACGATATCGACAAAGCAATGCTCGACTTGCAGCGTTGTTTAAAGCCGGGTGGAATACTGATCGTCATTGATGGATGGGTGGCCTTTATGAGTGACTTGAATACGGTTGGGAAGCTACGAAGGCTCGATGGAGACGAGGCTGACGCGACCGCCACGACTGAAGACGGGTCATGGTTGAATCGGATATTCTGGGGTAACTCCATGGCACTGTGTCCCTTCTCTCCTTCTCACGGCCATATGTAGAGGCCATTCAAGGCAATAAACTCGCAGGAGCAAGTATAGACCGCGGCCGAGAGGTGCTTGCCGCGGGGCTGTGGGGCCAGCCATATTGTGACCCTTCTTCGATAGTGAGCGGAAGTTATTTTATTCCCATCGGCCCATGGGCTCGAGGTACACTCCTCATCGTCTACATAGTCCTTGCTAATCGCTTGCAGGACGTAATGTCTCACAGACCCAGCAGCTCCAATATGGTGGACTCCTCATGCGCCAGTCGCTCGCAAGCATCCACCATGCTTTTCATTCCATCCTCCTCCGATTTGGCTTGACACAAGATGTGCTCGACAAATGGTCACAAGAGACCGATGACGGTTAGGCATTCATTTGACAGACAAATGTTCGTCCGACTCAATCCCCATAGAGCTCAATACTTCTCGCTGCAGATCGTGGGTCCGATTTTATTTCAACTTTGCTCGACGACAGCGCGACGACTCTACCTCCAGCTCGGACCCTGTGCCAACAATAGAACCACGGCCGCGTGATCAGAACAGCTACCCAGCCTTTGAAATTTTTTACAACCAAGAAGATGCAGCTGCTGCCGAGCGAAGGAGGATGGCGACTTGGGGGAAACTACCGACCCCTCATGTGGAGAGGGCGTGGTTACAGAGCCAAGCCTTGTAGTTGTATGTTCCTACGGCCTTGTATGCTCAAGTCGGTCATGTTTCGTTGTGGTGTGTATTAATAAAGAATCAGGATATAGGTATCTTATGACTCAAACCTCGTCTATTGTTCCAGGCACACACGCATCTCACTTGGGATCGACCAGGTACCGGACGTTATGTCCTGCGCCGCCAACTCAACATAGTCATTCTTTACCGAGTACGCTAACCCCACATCTTCGACCCAACCCTGGCCGAACGTCCCTTGGATACATCTGCCAAAGACGAGGAAAAGGATAGAAAGAGTTTGAATTCTCCATTAATACTCGGTCATATTTCTACCAATCGACAAGCCTCAATGCCTGTTCAGCAGTCTGACTCAGCTGCGTCTCAAGAAACGACGCACCTAGACGTCAAGCGGCTACCAGATGGAGAAATCCAGTCAAAGAGTCGGACGAATAGAGCAAAATACGAACAGAGCACACTTGGATCCAGCCCAAACGACGACCGACGAACGTTTAGTCATGCACACACTCGCGCACCATCCCGATATCAGGGGAGTGAAGCTGGAGCAATTCAAGACGATGGAGGTACATTCTACTCGTACAATTCTACAAGGGACGTGCGACTGTTTGTCAAGGAGATGCATGGCCGGTGCGTAGTGTGCTAACAGATAGAACGGGCAAATGATGTCTTTAGGATCTGGAATAGTATGAACGAGATGTATATATTACCTTCGGGTCAGTCGTCACCGCCTTCGCACAGGAGATCACTGAACCCGTTGTAGACGATACCGAGTGGCACCGTTTGTGAGTGCTCCGTTCATATCAGAACACTGATAACAACGAAACTCAGGAACCGGCAGCACCTAGCGCATATCATCGGTCTTGGTGGACTGTATCCATGTCCAGAGCAAGTCGAAACGCGCCTTGCACCAGCTGAAGGCGAACCGAAACAAATTCTCGACGTCGGTTGTGGTACTGGGAGCTGGGCACTTGAGATGGCTGAGCGCTTCCCACATACCCTCGTCACGGGTATCGATCTTGCACCTACGCCACTCGATACCGACCGTTTCCCGTCCAACCTCTATATCGAAATCGACGACGTCAATAAGGGCCTTTCACACTTTCATAACCAATTCGACCTCGTGCATATGCGCTGCGTTTCGGGTGGCATCAGTGACATTGACAAAGTACTGCTCGATTTGCAGCTTTGTCTAAAGCCGGGTGGGATATTGATCATCATTGATGGATGGACTGCCTTTATGAGTGACCTGGATACTGTCGTAAGACTACGAAGGCTCAACGGAGACGAGGCTGACGCGACGGCCACAAGCGAGGATGGTTCGTGGCTGAATCGAATATATTGGGGTGATTAAATTCTCTTTCTTTCCCTTAGTGCTCTATAACTCCCATATAGAAGCGATTCAAGCCAATCAGCTTGCAGGAGCGACCGTAGACCGTGCGCGGGAGCTCCTTGCTGCTGGACTCTGGGGCCAGCCATATTGTGACCCTTCGTCGATAGTTAACGGAAGTTACTTTATTCCCATCGGTCCATGGGCCCGAGGTACACTCCTCATCGTCCACACAGTCCTTGCTGATTGTTTGCAGGAAGTAACGTCTCGCAAACACAACAGCTCCAATACGGCGGGTTGCTTATGCGGCAATCACTCAGCAGTCTCCATCGCGCCTTTCATTTCATTCTCGTTCGATACGGCTTGACCCAGGACGTCCTCGATAGGTGGTCTCGGGAGATTGACAATGGTTTGACATTTCTGATCCAACTGTAAGATGGACCGCTAATCCCATTCATAGAGCTGGAAACATCGCGCTGCAGGTCGTGGGTGCGATTCTACTTCAACTTTGCTCGACGACGACAGGACGACATAACTTCCAGCCCCATTCCTCTACTGAAAACAGAGCCAAAATCACGTGATCAGAACAGCTATCCCGCATTCGAGATTTTCTATAATAAAGACGAAGCATTGGCCGCAGAGAAAAGGAGGATGGGGACATGGGGGAAACTGCCAACCGCTCAAGTGGAGAGGGCATGGTTACAAAGTCAAGCGCTTTAGGACTCTGTCATCTTGATCCCACTTTGTAATTCAGACTTGTGATGCTCACTGAAGATGGACAGCTCCAAAAAGGGACTCAAATTTGACGCTGGCTTTCATCCAGAGCAGATCGCATCTTTGGTTCGCCATTTACATCACTACTACGTCCTTGTCATGAAAACTCAACGAATTACCGGCACTGCCAGAAAGTGCCACAATCAACGACGGCAATACCCTGAACACGCGTCGAACGCGTCCAGTGTCCTAGTGCGCCGAGGACGTTGAGTAGAGCGGATCCCATAAGCATGTAGGGTGATAGAAGAATGCTCCAGAAGAGATCATTTGTCAAGAAATGGTAGAAAGGGGAGACCGGCTCGTGCGAATCAAAGTGGCGGGGTCGAAGAGACAAAGTGAGAAGTGGAACCCTGCATGTCTTTATACGGCAATGAGATGTGGATATATTACTCAACAAGTCATTCCTTCATACACGACGATGATAGCGGTTGATATCTTACCATGGTTATAGAGGAGCATAGCGTACAAGTTAGATAAGGTTCAAATCCGGCGGCTAGTAACACTTGTGACTTAGTATTGACTTGTTGGAGACGCTTGACTCCTGGAGGGCATTGGTTCAAACCTAGACACGGCCCAAAGCATTAACACTAATCTAGTTGTAAGACGACGATAACTTACTTGACCCTTGGCCAAAGTTTTCACCTAGAGGTTGATGGTTCAAATCCGAAGGAGGACACGACGGCGGGTGTAATAATCAGGACCCACTTTCTAATAAACTTCGGCAAAGTGTACTAAAATAGTGAACGCGGTGACCCTGTCTTCTAATGTAGTCTAGTAATCGTGGCGTCCTAGGTTCGATTCACCGACCGGTCTGCGACTTTACTGATGGACCAAGTGTTCGAGGTATTGGGCGGAATTTGTGATCAAAGTAGCAAAAGTGTTCTATCAACACTAATGAGTGGCCAATGTGGGTGTAAACTTAGTTACAAATTGTGACAAACTTTAGCGATCGAGCGATGGATAGTAACCAGGGAAGCGTTGATTAGACTACATGATCTACACTTTACACTAAGTCAACAAAGTCGTTAGTCTATTACCAGTTCCTTACGCGCCAGCTCTATATGATCTACCACCAAGTCATTGGAGTTAGTACTCGCGAGTTGATCAAAGTCAACATTCTTGTAAGAAACCGTTGTACAATTTGTACCTGATCTACATAAGGAATGTGGCAAACATTGAATGCACAATTTTGAACACTTGTCGATCCTGTCGAGTCACCGATGATGACCACTCAATCTATCTGGCCAATGAGCATCTCCAAGATGATTAAAAGTCTCTCAAAAGTTCATGCCGTGAGCATCTGGGGGTGAAAAAGGACGCCGCGCAAAGGTTAGATACAAAGGCGCGATCTTGTAGGCCCCTCGAGCGACACCACTGCGCAGGAGACTGGTCCAGCGATATGCCGATTCTTCAACCCAAAGTTGGGTGAGAGTGGAACATTGGGACCCTCTCACTGGTGGAATTTCAAGCGATTTCATCGTTCAATCCCAAGCTCATACTGTGCATTCATCGAGCAATTTACTTGCGAAATGAGTGAACGTCATTCGAGCACAAACTGGACCGGTCGTCAGACCACCAGTGTATATCCCGAGTCGACCCGCTCGCAAGAGTGGTCACCTCGTGGAGCCAGCGAGCAAACAGAGGGAAAACATGCAGAATTAGCAGATTCTCGGCATTCAGGGGCAAGAGATCCAACCCCCTCTTCGTCCCCTGATGTCGAATATACCCATCCGCCTACCCCGGATCTCTTCGAGTCTGACTCGGAGAGTCCGGTATTCTCGCATCTTGAGGACATGGGGGCTATGAGCAACGATGACCATGCATCTAATGGCTCGTCGAGGAACGGAAGAGTCGGCTTCATAAGAGGAGTCGCTTCCGGTGGACGTGCACACACTGGCCAAGCTGCGGATGATCGCCCACCACCGCGAAAACTCTCCATGGAATCCCTGCGCAGCCGAACTGATCGGCAGAGGCGGATTCGGGCATGTCTACAGAGGGCGGCATACTGATACTGGGAAGGTCCTTGCGATCAAGTTAATCCCCCGTTCAGACAAAGCCCAAAGAGTCAAAGACTCGCTATGGAGAGAGCGCGAAGTGGGTGTGTGTATCTCCGAGGCTAAAGCTCGAGTTGGCGGCCAGGCAGGCAGTTCGGCAATTCTGGGCCTTTTGCACCTGCTTGGGGCCTTCTTGACTCCGGAGTGTATCGTACTTGTTACGGTGAGCGTCTATAATGGGTACTGGGGGAGTCCCGACTCACACAGTTTAGGAACTGTGTGTGACGGACATGGCGGCAATACGCTGCCTCGACGAGGACGACCTGCGGTTCTACTTTGGGGAACTTGTGAGCATTTATTAAGTGTGAATACCGTTGTAGAGATCTAAACGCGAAAACAGATCTGCGGCGTGCGTTATCTGCACGACGAATTGGGATATGTTCACCGCGATCTTAAACCGAGCAACATCCTGCTGACCCGGGATGGACATGCCCAGATCGCGGACTTTGGTCTCGTAGAGAGCATTTCAAATGTCAACTACGAGCCAAAGCCATTGAGACCCGGTCGGGATCACTTTCGCGGAGTAGGCACTCTTGGGTATATCCCACCAGAGGCCCATCTGCTGGGTGTCCAGGGCCCCGAGGGTGATGTGTGGGCCCTTGGGGTTATCTTGTTCAGGCTTGCGACCGGAATAGTATGTACTTTGGGTCTGGGGCTTTGTTGGGTGCTGACACCGAGGGTAGCACCCATTTCGCCAAAAGGGCGATGATGAAGACACGGTCGTTGGCAATGTGGCTCATAGACCACTTACCATGTCTTCTACAGAGAATCTCTCTATAAACCTCTATACGCTGATCAGAGGCCTCCTGCTACGAGACAGTGAGGCCCGATGGACCCTCCGTAATGCCATGAACACGGAGTGGTTCTTTGAAATGTGCGTATCCGTTGGTATTTCTATTGGGCACTTACAATGGGATAGTTCCGACTTTTGGGAGAGACTGCGGGATGGAAGGCTACAGCCTCCGCCTTTGCCCCGTGCATTAGTGCGTGATCCGAAAACCGGGCACACTTGCACATTAAAGTATGTGGCGGGCGAGGTACTAGCGTCGCACGGATTCGCAACGGTCACGATTGAGACTAGCGAGTGCGCCGAAGATGTAGCGTTCTACTACCAACATCCCGATCTCTCTCCCAAATGAGGATATGATACCCTTTTTCTTGGACGCTCGATATCGAGCTTGTAATTGTATCACTGGTTCGAGTTGGTTTTTATGGCTTGTTCTTTATCGATATGTACATATGTGATAGCGAAGGCGTCCGAGTAGTTCTGCACTCTTGGATTGCTCCTTACGCTTGTCACGGGTTCGTTATGTCTAGACGGCTACGAGTTCAGTTACAACTTTCGACTTTAGTTACAGTTTCGGCTTCAGTTATAGTTTTCAGTCTCAAGTTCAAGTTCGAGTCTTTGGCTTCAAGGTAAGTAATTTCCTTTTGTTGGTCGCTGGCTTGAGGGTCGGCTCTCAGGACTTGGGTATCGTTCGAGTTCTAGTCTATGTCTTAGTGTATTTAGCCTCCTTGAATGCTACCTTGTGATGACATGCTAGTCTAACACGTATAGAAAGGGCTTGATTAGAGACATTGACCTACCAAGATGTAGTCACGAGGTCTATAATAAGTCAACTCGCGATACTAACTTCGACCTTGTCTGCGAATAAGCAGTAGCTTTGTTTGTCCGGCTATTTGCCAACCGTGTTTGGTAACAACTCGTCGTACTAAAGACGAGGCGAGTATGTGGATTTTCATACATAACGGTGGCTATCCCTCGTATACAGTAACTGTACGTTGTACGCAATCAAAAGCTCCCGGTCATTCGACCCGATGCTACCCATGCTTCTCACAAGTCAACTCGATAGTGATTTCTGTCTAGCTGTCCATACTGTAGCTCGTCTAATGTTGGGTTGCTTACTGTGAGCTCGATTCGTTATCTTATTCGCTATGAATTTCGAAATGGTACTCTCCATTCCGATCCTGGCTCCGACTTACTAGATGTTCAGCCAGCTCAACAGGATTTGCAAGATGGGTTGTAAAATGGCCTACAGCGACAGCGGACAGCAGCAACATGGGGGCATATCATTGTCGTATCGATAAAGAGTACAAAATAGCGTGTGCCCCAATGGCTCAAACGTAATCCAGCCTTCTAGTGGATCGTCTATACTATATTTGGTCGCATGTTAGTCACGACCAGGTACCGGATTTATGTCCTGCGCCGCCGAATCAAGACAAGAACTCAGGTTTTTGGGTACATAAGCACCTGCTCATGCCGCGCTAGTGTCTCGTCCTCAAGCTATCGATGGCCAAGCGTATAGATCCTCTGGATATGCCTGCCAAGCAGGAGGACAGTGTCCCAAGTAACGTCGGAGCCTCTCACGATCCTGTCACTCGACGAATCGTAATGTCTGCTCCCGGTCTCGACGCAACCACGTCTTCACAACCGACCGATTCGGCCGTCTGGCCAGAACCACGCGGTGAAAGTGATATAAAGAGTCAAGAGAATAGGGCAAAATATGAACAGAGTATTTTCGGATTCAGCTCAAGCGGCGATCGGCGAACCCTCAGTCACGCACACACCAGTGCACTAGCAATGTCCAGACGTCAAGAGAGCGAGGGTGGAGGAAGTCAAGACGATGGAGGATCATTCCACTCATACAATTCCACAAGAGATGTGCGACTGTTCGTCAAGGAGATGCACGGTCGGTATGTACGGTCGTCGCAAATAGAACGAGTGACCGATGCCAGTAGAGTATGGAATAGCATAAACGAGACATACATGCTGCCCTCTGGTTCGTCGTAGTCATCTTTTACACCTGGACCTCACTGAATGCCTTTGTAGACGATACCGAGTGGCACCGTTTGTGAGTCCTGCGCTTTCCCCAAGGCGAACATTTACAGACAAACACAGGAATAAGCAGCATCTGGCACACATCATTGGCCTTGGTGGATTGTATCCATGTCCAGAACAAGTCGAAGCACATCTTGCACCCGCCGAAGGCGAGCCAAAGCGTATACTCGACGTAGGATGTGGCACTGGGAGCTGGGCAATTGAAATGGCCGAACGCTTCCCTCGTTAGTCTCGAACCTACTTCTGATATAGGCAACTCACCAAGAGTTTACAGATACTCTTGTCACAGGTGTCGACCTTGCGCCAACGCCAGTTGACAGTGCCGGCTTCCCATCCAATCTTCAGATCGAGATCGACGACATTAACTTCGGTCTCGCACACTTTCATGGTCAATTCGATCTCGTCCACATGCGCTGTGTTATGGGTGGCATCAATGACATTGACAAAGCTCTGCTCGACCTGCAGCTGTGTCTCAAACCGGGTGGAATCATGATTGTCATCGACGGGTGGCTCGCATTTATGAGCGACGTGAATACGATCGCACGGCTACGGAGACTTGAAGGAGACGAGGCTGATGCGACTGCTACAAGTGAAGATGGTTCTTGGTTGAATCGAATATATTGGGGTGAGTGAATGCATCTTTATCCCGATGTCACCTAATCGAAACCGTATAGAAGCGAGTCAAGGCAATAAGCTTTCAGGAGCGAGCCTGGATCGCGCCCAGAATGTTCTATCTACGGGATTATGGGACCAACCGCACTGTGATCCGGCCTCAATCGTCAGCGGGAGCTACTTCATTCCCATTGGCCCATGGGCTCGAGGTACATTCCCTTGTCGTCCATCGTTTCTAGCCAACACTTCCCCAGGAAATAACATCTCACAGACACAGCAACTACAATATGGCGGACTACTCATGCGCCAATCCCTTATGAGCATCCACCGTGCATTTCATTCCATTCTTCTTCGATATGGCTTGACACAAGATGTACTCAATACATGGTCCCAAGAAACTGAAAACGGTTTGCCTTTTTGCGTTATACTTACTCGATATCTCACCTCAACCCTTGCAGAACTGAACACATCGCGCTGTAAATCGTGGGTGCGGTTTCATTTCAACTTTGCTCGACGACGCCACGACGACTCGACTTCTGGCTCTGATCCTCTACTAAAAATGGAGGCACGACCGCGTAACCAGAACAGTTATCCAGCGTTCGAGATGTTCTACAATAAGGCCGACGCAGTAGCTGCTGAGCAAAGAAGGATGGCAACGTGGGGCAAACTACCAACCGCTCACGTCGAGAGGGCATGGTTGCAGAGTCAAGCCTTATAATTTTCTCTCTCTCTCTCTCCATCTGTATACTTAAGTTCGTCCCACTCAAACGGATATAACGCTGATTGATCCATGGAATTCTGTACCTAAAGTAGAAATATGAACTAATATCTTTCCCTTGGCTGGCTGTCTTCCGTGAAATTGGCCCCGACTTTGCTCTTAAGAAACTCGCCATATATGATTGGTGGAAACCTGCCCGCCAGAGGCTTACTCGAGCTCGACCTTGTTACGTTATGAATGCGCAAAGCTGCTTCGAGGGGTTTGACTACCGCATCGAAATTCGGTTCGAAGAAGAATGGTACTCTATTAAGGTCAGCACAAGTCCGAAGCTCAAGGGAAGACTAACGAGACTCTGTAGTTTGACGAGCGGTGAATAACACGGTGCAATGTAGAACGGTACAGTCCTGCAGTCCATGTCTCCCACATCTCCCCGATATTGCAGACCACGGCACCAGGGAGCGGATCAGCATTGATCCAGACACCTTCTGTATCGCCTATATAGTATGAGAATCAAGAAGATTATGACGAATCAGTACCTTGTTCTGGAGGCAGTGCCAGAGAAGCGTCAATGGCACTCTGAGCGACGTCCGTATCCGGCCCCAGAAATACTTGGAGGGCAGAGGGTGTTGGATCTGCATACAGGAAGCTAAGCATTGTCAGCTTGATCAATGCTGTAATCGATGGCGAACGTTAGGCATCCGTAGTCCCTGTGACAATGATCGGCTTCACGCTCCCTGTGAGATTAGAAAATACCTGTGTGCTCCGCAAGAAAAACCGTCGTGTGTAGAAGGAAGTGGTGGATAGCCTGTACCAGGTCAATACAGGATATCATGCGAGCCAGGTTTGCACAGACCAATGATTCGCATGACCCAAAAAGAATCATCTACTTTGCTTCGAAGATCTTCCCATTCTGTCTGCGTCATCCCAAGACCCATTGCCATCCTAGGCCAACACTCAGCGAGTGCCTGAGCGGCCCGCAGATAGCACGCACGCCTCCATGACAATCATCCCTAGGACCTGCATCTTATCAATCCAGTCCTCGAATTTCTCCCTAAATCCCGGTATATGGCTCGTCCATTGATTCGTCCCCCATAGCGGCTTTGTCTTGTCTGGGTTCGCGACTGGCTTGTAGAAATCGATCCCTTCGTGATTGTCTGCTTTCCCCATTGTCACGTTCTCCTTGAGCCGTTGATACCCTATCATGGTCGTCAGCTTGGCCGAAGAAATAGAGAGGGCTTGACCTCTTGCGCCGTCCTCGTTCGCCAGTCGTATTTCGTCCTTTTTGGACTGTTCCAGATGAAAGAAAGTCCTCCCTAGATCTGCGAGTTCTTGCATCTCCGAGTCAGTTGCGAATCCGTCGAGTCTGAGGTAGAAGAATCCATAGCGGAGACAAGCCTCATGCAATCCCTTTGACGCCTGCGTTCTCTCCTCTTCCGTGTGATTAGAACGATCTATCCATGATATGAGGTCGATCACTGGCAACGATAGCGTCGACGGCTTGGACATGGCCGAGAGCAAGTGGCGATGGCATCTTTCCTCGTGCGACCACTCGCGTTTACACCGAAATTCACAAGAATAATGTCGACGACATCGCTATACGCCAATTTACCGGATTCTGTGCGCGATTTTGTCGCCGCGTCGTCAAAAGACGAAAGCCACCTTGGACAAACGGACGCGGAGAAAAAGGATGTGACCTCGTGGATCTCCAAGGCATCTGATGCGAGCTTTGCTTCGAATAGTACGCTCCAAGTAAGCTTGATATCATCATTCCGATACCGGATCGTTGATATAGTGCTGCCTGACTCATAGTCCCTCAACGCTGATCTCGTTTCGCGAACATATTTAGTTGGAAACAGTATAACAGCTGCAGATACTGCGGTATATGGCGTCCTACATCCCATCATCGTATGTTTACTCCTTCAGACTTGGGAAATTGCTCATCGTTTGCAGTCGAAACTTAGTCCACAAGAGTATTATTCCGTGCCAGCTCTAACACGCTATTTTGATCACGTACAGCATGATCCAACTGTTCGTGCGGCACCAAACGCGCCTTCCCTGGTCACATTCGACCTCGAAGGTGCACCCAAACAGGAACGCAAAGTCGAAGCTCCCGTAAAGAAGAAGAAGGAAAAGGCACCAGAGGCAGCCGCTGGCGCATCCACGGAGGCGGTACCCGCGGCAGACAAGGGCAAGAAGGTGGCAGCGGCCGAAGAGACATCGACAGCGACTGAGCAACCGGCAACGTCAAGTGGTAAGAAGGAAAAGAAAGAAAAGGCCAAGAAGGAGGCTGCACCGGCCGCATCAGGGAAGAAAGGAGAGGGGAGCAAGGCATCTGGCGGAGGTGCGGCAGCTGCAGATTCGGGAGATCCTATACCTTCTATGATCGACCTTCGAGTGGGACACATTGTGGACAGTGCGTATTCTCCTTACTTACTTCGCCGATGATCTAATTGACCTCTCCTAGTCAAGGTACATCCCGACGCGGATGGCCTATACGTCGAGGTCTGTTTGGTCTTTTTCTCATGCATTCACTGACTGTATAATCCCAGCAAATTGATCTCGGAGAGCCGGAAGGACCTCGTACGGTCATCTCTGGTCTGGTCAACTATATTCCAATCGAAAGGATGCGAGATAGATATATCGTAGCAGTCGTAAGTGGATAATCTCTTGGCGATGACAGGGCTAAGTAAGTTCAGTGCAACCTCAAGCCTGCGAACATGAGAGGTATTAAGAGCCATGCCATGGTTCTCTGTGTAGGTCGACTATCTACTACCAAAACTCAACTGAGGTTTCTCAGGCTACATCAAAAGAGGGCAAAGAGGGTGGCATTGAGCTGGTGGAACCGCCTGCGGGTGTCAAGGTTGGTGAGCGCGTCTATTTCGAGGGATATGAAGGTATAATCCATCCTCTCTCGAGTCCTCTTCTCACCAAGTCGTAGACAAGGAGCCTGTCTCTCAGCTAAACCCAAAGAAGAAGATCTTTGAGACGATTCAGCCAGGTGGGTCCGAAGATTGTAATTTGTTTCGAGAAACTGAGTCCATTAGGGTTTATTACTTTGGAGTCACACGAGGCGGCTTGGATAGACCCCGCCACCAAGAGCGTGCATCGGATCCGGACAAAGGAGGGCGTTTGCATGTCACCGTCGTTTGTTGGAGCATCTTTGTCATAATCCATCGATTATGAAGACCGTTGCCACCTTTACTTTCTGCATGAGTGGCTTGGTTTTTGACGTCTCATGGGATGGTCTCTGTGAACTTATAGCTCAAGATATTGACATAAATCAGACCAGAAAACATCCTATGTGTAAGTTTTGATACGTACCGGCCATTGCCATTCCAGGCGTGTTTGGCCCAAACATCAAACCGATACCCTAACACCTTCAATCACTCCAAAAAATGGGTCAGAAATTCTGCAAATATGCGCCGGGAGTGTCAAGAGATCTAATAATTGCTTGTGTATTCCACAGTTCGCTACTCGTCGGGACACCTCCTTTCGAACAAGGAGAAGGGTACGTGATAACGCTCGCGCGAGGCTCTACAGGCATGCTAATCCTTGCTTTGATTCTAGTCGCTATGGCTCGTGGCGAATACCTCCGAACACACTTTAAGAATATGCGCGAGGTGGCTGCTGCATTGACCGGTCAGCTTTCTGCATGTCGTGCTGGATCACGATTGCTGATGCGGTTATATTGCACACAGGAATGAAGCTGGAACGTGCATACAAGTACCTCGCAGACGTCAAGGAGCACAAGCAGGTTATTCCTTTCCGCCGCTTCTCTGGTGGTGTCGGTCGCGCCTCGCAGGCAAAACAATTTGGTGCCGTTCAAGGTCGTTGGCCAGAAAAGTCGGTTCGATTCATTCTTGGTCTCTTGAAAAATGCCGAATCGAACGCGGATGCGAAGAATCTCGAGTTGGGAGATTTGTTCATCAAGAACATTGTCGTCAACCAAGCCCCAGTACGATCCATTTCTCCTATAATTATACTTGTCCTCACAATATTTAGAAAACCCGTCGCCGCACATACCGTGCCCATGGTCGTATCAATCCGTACCAAGGATCACCATGTCACATCGAGGTCATTGTCGGTGCCGAAGATGAGGTTGTTGAACGAAACAAAGACAAAGATGCAGTTGTTAGCTACCAGGGCCTCAACCGCCGACAACTCGCGAGAAAGCGAATCGAGGCGTCGAGGGCATGAACAGGTCATGACATCTGTTGTCCGTGATTCTGTTTTCCGTACGGCTACGACGTGAAGATCATGCACTCCCTATGCCTCATGTCGCGCGTACGTACGTTATTAGTAGGCATCCCCTTGAATGCGAATCCGTATGATCTCGATCGCAGCACATATGAGCAAAAAACTAGATTGCACGATTACACCCTATGCATCGGTCACGCAGCCTTGGCTAGCATCCTCGACTATTTTGATGTACTTGTACAGGGTGCCCTGTGAGACTTTGAGCGGAGGAGCTTTCCAACTCTCTCGCCTTCGCTTCATCTCTGCTTCGTCGACGTCGACATTGATCGTGTTCTTTACGGCATCAATAGAGATGACATCCCCGTCTTTGACGAGACCGATCGGTCCACCGACTTGGGCCTCTGGAACGACATGCCCGACGACGAACCCATGAGACCTGTGCGAATCAGCACCTTAAGAAGCAAAGGTTTGAAAAGCTTACCCTCCAGAGAACCTCCCGTCGGTCAAGCAAGCGACGTCCTTGCCCAAGCCAGCGCCCATGATCAAACTCGTTGGCTTGAGCATCTCCGGCATACCTGGTCCGCCCTTTGGACCAAGATATCGCAACACGACGACAGTCTTCTCTCCCTTCTTTATCGAGCCGCTCTCGACCGCCTTGACCATCTCGTCTTCACTGTCAAAGCAACGCGCCTTGCCCGTGAACGCGAGTCCCTCCTTGCCTGTAATCTTTGAAACTGCTCCTCCTGGAGCGAGGTTACCACGCAGGATACTAGCAAATATCAGAATCTCGTTCACGCCGAAAGCAGCCGCGTACCGAATGTGACCAGTCTCTTTGATTGGGTTCTCGAGAGGTCTAATCACGTCCTGACTCTTAAAGTCGAGTTTACCGTGCTTGTGTACCCATCTTTCCAAGTTCTCGCCCAACGTCTTGCCGGTGACGGTCATGGTGTTGCCGTCGATGACCTTATTGTCCATGAGATAGTCGAGAATTTCTGCGCGGCGATGAGTTCAGTATTATAACCGGATTGAAGCGTACTTGGAAGACCGCCAATCTTGTATACATCTTCCATCACGTATCTTCCACTGGGCTTGAGGTCCGCAATAAAAGGCACGCGGTCCGAGACGCTTTGGAAGTCGTCAATAGTCAAGTTGACGCCGACAGAGTGTGCGATGGCGATCAGATGCAAGACGGCATTGGTGGAGCCGCCGAGGATCATGACAAGGGCCATGGCATTTTCAAACGCCGTGCGTGTCATAATGTCACGCGGAAGGAGGTTGAGCTCGAGGAGATTGCGCATAGCCGCGCCGACGGCGTCGCACTCGGAGAGTTTTTCGGGGCTAGTAGCTGGGAAGGATGACGAGCCGGGGAGTGTCATACCGAGGACTTCTGCTGCGGAAGCCATCGTGTTCGCAGTGTACATCTACGCTTAATGAGCGACGTAGTCACGACTAGAGACATTGCTTACTCCACCACAAGCACCTGGGCCTGGACAGGCATGGCGAACAGTATTATATCGGAACTTTTCGGCATCCTCTGTCTGACCATCTTGCAGATATTGTCCATAGGATTGGAAAGCGGAGACGATGTCGAGCTGAGGTGCACCCTCGCAGGAGCCAGGTCGGATTGTACCGCCATAAACCATGATAGCCGGTCTGTTTAGGCGTCCCACTACAACATGTTAGCCATATGCTCTATAAGAATTGGATACATACTGGCTATAAGGACACCTGGCATGTTTTTATCGCACGCAGGGACACATGCGACACCGTCCAACCAATGCCCGCCAACGGCTGTCTCAACCTGGTCGGCAATCAAGTCTCGTGACTGTAACGAGAAGGACATCCCCCGCGTGCCCATACTGATACCATCCGAGACACCGACGGTGCCAAATTGGTAGCCAATCAAGTCGGCCTTTTGTATAGACTGTTTTATCCGTCTCCCGAGATCCAATGTATGCATGTTACACGGATTCCCCTCGTACCAGACACTTCCGACGCCAATCATAGGCTTCTGAAGATCAGCGTCCTCGGTGATTCCGTCGGTGGCGTATAACATGGCCTTGCGGATGCTCAGTACATTTAAAGCAGTAATTTAAACATAGAAATGATTACCTGACTGGCTCCTTGGTCTTTTGGCTGCGTAACCGTTTTGCTGTATCGGTTTAGTGGCTCTTTCGACAACAGCTGACTCGACGAAGCAAAGCCACGAGCAGCAACTGCGACTCTCGTAGAAATTCCGCTCCATTGAGCCCCTTTTGGGCGCAGACGCTGACCTTGGAAGACGGCGCGCATTTTGGTAGAAATCAAGGTGTGGGGAAGTGTTGACTCGGCAAACGTTTGGGCTTCGAATCATATTGGGTTCGTTTGTCAAATTAAACCTAGGTATCGAACAAATGATGAGATAATTACTAATAAAAGTTTGCGAAACTTTGAAAGATGCAAGGGTAGACTGGAGGCAGACATCACAAAGGCGAGTACTAATAGTTCTCTGGGAATATGCTTGCCAACGGTGCTATCTCTGAGGGTGTGTGTGGAGAAACATTGATTCCGCTCGTTGACCTCCGACCTCGTCGGCCTGTTGTTGGATTTCGGCCAAATCTCAATCACTAAGCAGAATGATGGCTCTCACATTGAGCGGCCCGGGAAGTCCATGTGAACTCGGGCGGCGGATGAGCGGAAGATTCAGAGGACGAAAATAGAGCAGAACGAGCTGCTGGACGGTCTCTAACACCACTTATAGATCTCTTAAAGAAAGCTACGGAGCTGAAGATGTCGACGGGCCGTCAGCCGCCCGCAGATTCGCCTCGTGAGGTATAAGATCTCGTAGAGCAACAAGACTCTCTTCAAGAGCCACCATGTTCAATTTCATCCTTCTTCTAACCAGTTTGGGTACAATCTTACAAGCCGACGTATCAAAGAGAGCGACATGCGTCGTCCCCTCTTTAAACGACCCCGCAAAATCCGATGTGCCGGCAATAAAAAATGCCTTTTCTTCGTGTGGTAATGGCGGTGTGATTCAGTTCACAAAGGGAACGACGTACCATGTAAACGACTTTTCTTTCCATCGAGGGATGCCATAGTTGTGAAGTACAGATGGATGGCATCCTCAAGCAGAGTGTCAATACTACCCACTGGCAGGGTCAATACGCACCTTTGTATGTGCTTTCACCTCAAAGAAACTTGCACTCATGAGCTCCTTTCAGTGCCTTCCAAAACTCGAGGCTCTCAATGGTCGTCCAAGGTGCCACTGACATGATTTTTCATTCCCCTGCACGTACGGGGGTCATAGATGGTAGTGGACAAGCGTGGTGGGCCGCATTCATCCGTCCCTTTTTTCCCCAAGTGCGAACTTACTCAATGGGGTATAGAAGAAGAGCAGTTCAACACTTCGACCAATCCTGTGGACTGTCGCCAACTCTACCCGCGTCACATTTGATGGAATCAAGATGATCAATTCACCCATGTGGTGCACACACCATTTGTTCATCAAGTTCCGCACGCTTATGAGATTGCTTAGGTTCAATCTTGTTGCATCTTTTTCGTACATCAACTACTACAACATGAACATCTCCGCTGTCATGACATCTTCCTCTGCGCCTATCAAGAACACAGATGGATTTGAGCAAGTCTCTCCATGGAATGGACAAAGAGAATGATTTCCAATGGTATCAGCACGTATTGTTCGGACCATATAACCATCAAAGGTCTTACTTTGGATGTCGGCGATGATTGTGTCTCATTTAAGCCCAATTCGACAAACATTGTGGTCGAGGACACTATTTGCGGCGGTTCACATGGCGTCTCAGTTGGAGCATTGCTCAATACCCCGGTGTCTACGATATCGTTGAGAACATTTACGTCGTGCGTGCTTTCCTGCTTCTCACTGCTCAGCTCACACCTAGACAGCGCAATGTCAGCTTCATCGAGTAAGAGTAACATGCCGTGGGTGTACACCTACTCACGACGATGTACAGTCGATCAGATAGAACGCACACGGAAAATGGCGTTCGGATCAAAACTTGGCCCGGTGGGAAGTACGGATACGGAAAAGGTGTACAACGTGACCTATCAGGATATCAAGATCTCCAATGTCGATTCACCCATTGTCGTGGACACTTGTTACTCCAACTCTGAATCGGTCAGTACCCCACACTCCTCGATCCAATATTTACACAAAATAATACTGCGCTTCGAACCCATCTCGCGTGGCGATGACCGAGGTTTACTTCAAGAACATTAGTGGCAAGTCATCGGGGTCGAGGAAAGATGTCGTCGCAAAATTGACATGCAGCCCTGGCGCCGTTTGCGAGCTCCATCTCACGAATATCAACGTCACCGCACCGTCGGGCCATACCCCAGTCTTTGATTGTACAGACGTCAATGCCGATGTCGGAGTTACATGTACCGTAGTTTAGCGGCCCGTTGATATCGAAAGCGATACCGAGATGGATAGCACCGATGATTACATCTATCATACATCTCCAGTCACAATGGGAACCTTCTTCACTGCAGTCTGCTGGTCAACTGTGAGGCAGGCCACCCGTATCGTATTCAAACAGATAGCCACCTGCAAGAGTGCGGCACACACCAGGTGGTCTCGACGAACAAAGAGACGGCTCGTCACTTGTTCCTCTTCCAACTGAATTTGGCGTGAGCGCTAATAATAGAGGTGGTGATATGATCCGACCAGGAAGCATCAATTTGGCTCGGGGACTTGCTTATGTACCGAGGCAGGAGTGTAAAATGATTCCACTTGACTGAAATTACATAGTTCAGGGTCGCTATCTCCGCGCTGGTTGGCATATAAGCCATATTGAGCATGCGGGGACAATGTCCAGGACGACATGGAGCAGCCAAAGATGATGATAGAGCAATGGAATGATTCGATTAACGTGTACATTCGTCTTGCGCAAGCCATAGCTCCCTTAGTCACGGACCAGGCTGGAACCAACCCTGAAAGCTTTAGCCTCGCCTATCAGCCAGCAGGCACAGATGAATCTCCACAGAGGTTAGACTGATAAACACTCGAGTAGCTATATATGCGGGTTCCCGTCGGTTCACATGTTCCTTCTTACTCTCAATGACATCCCTGGTCGCCGTCTACTTGTTGTCCAGCCGTGCTGCTTCAAATACAACAGAATGCCCCCTGTCATGCGCCAATCAGTTCAGGAGCCTACCCGGAATTGTCCTGAGCTGTATCACCACCATATTTTTGTGCATCTGGGTAGCCCTCCACCTCAATGTCCCCGAACCTGTGGACACCAGAGGCTTGAATAGACTCTGTCAATTCAGGACCTGGATCAAGTGGTTTTTTGGATGCAATATAGTTCCGGTTGTTGTTACACTGCTGTTCCCTGAATGGGTTCTGGGTATAGCGGTTCTTCAATTCACCAAGGCCACTCAACTGGCCAAGCAGATTGGTGCGTCACAGAAGGTGATTCTCATTCTGTACCGACTGATCTGTTTCCAGGCTGCACTCGTCAACAAGGGTTCTTCATTATCATGGGTGGCTTTCATCTCTTCAAACGGAGCCAAGGATATCAGATTGGTTCTGGAGGAGGGGGAGGAGGGGAAGCTTGTTCACCAGTCAGAGAATCAGCAGTAGAGGGAGGAGACGGCAGATCTGGCCATACGGCAAGCAACCAGACGATCAATGTAGAAGAGGCGTTTGGAGAGCCCGTCCATCCTCTTGATGAATTTGATGTCTGGCGCCTCATCAAGGCCGGCAAACTGCTTCTTCCTACCTTTGCAGAGCTCCAGGACAAGTGCAAGAGTGACGGACTTGCAAAGTTCCTCGTCATAGCACAAACACTCTGGTTCATAACCCAGTGTATTGCACGAAAAATTAACAACCTTCAACTTACGGAGCTTGAAGTCGTCACCCTCGGATATACTCTGCTCACCCTGTCCATGTATGTTGCATGGTGGGACAAGCCATACCGCGTCACGTTCCCTGTGCGCGTGTATGAGCCACTTCCCAGGCGTACAAAAGAGCAAGAGAGACTTAAGAGGAAGACAAAGGGACTCAACTTTCTGGAGATGGTCGTTGGGTATGCCATCGGCACTCAGGGAGGGCATGTTGACCTACGGAGTGTAAAGCATGTTCCCATGTTTCACTCGGGATATAGTGGAATGGATGATGTCAGCAATCTCGTTGCCCCAGTAACTACAATCATTGTAGGGATGCTCTTTGGAGCTGTCCATTTCCTTGCGTGGTCATCGCCCTTTCCGACTATCCATGTGCAGTACCTCTGGAGATTCGCAACGATGATCATAGCTGTGATGCCATTTGCAGCAGTCTTAGGCTTGTTCTTCGCCGCTTTGATTGTGGACCAGTGCTTCGGCGCAGCTCGTCTACTTGTGCTACCCCTCCTGCTATTTCCGCTCATCTACTTTATTGGGCGAGGTATAACCATTGTGATTGCGTTGAAGACGCTTGCCGGGCTCCCAATTGACGCCTATCGAGACATGGAGTGGTCGAGCTTCTTCCCCCACATCTGAACTTGACCTGGAGTCTCCCTGTATTCTGTACTTGTAGTTTGTATATCCCGTTACTAGCATCTCTCTAGGGTGTATATTCCATAATGAGCATGGATCCGACGAGCAGACTAAAATGAATGACTGATGTCAGAGTTGAACGTACTGTGGTCTAGCAACTTGTTTGTATTTAAAGGATATAATGGCCTTGTGTCACGTGGAGTTGGAAGCTCCGTCCGCTTGGACTCTTCCAGGTCGCTCCCAACTTGAACCCATCTACAAGTTTTCTATATGCCCCTACGTGTCGTTCAGAGCTGTAGGATAGGCTTGCGGTCATCTTCATCAACGCTGAATCACCATGCCCGACCTTTGACAACTCTGCAATCTCGTACCTTACAAACAAGCCTTACATCTACACCACCAGTCTCCTCTGGACAAAGTTTTGGGGGTGCAAGAACAGCGACAACGGTCTCTACCCCCCGCTTTGTCAAGATTGTCGAGTGCGGTGTGCGGGACGGGTTACAAAACGAGCCCAACACCGTTTCTGTCGAAACGAAGCTTGAGCTTCTAGAACGCCTTGCCAATGCCGGATTACGAGCAATCGAAAGTGGCGCAATGGTGTCCAAAAAGGCGGTCCCACAGGTAAGCATTCTCTACTCGCTCGAAGCAATTATCCCCGACCAACAGCATGCACTTAGATGGCGACAACTGCAGAGGTGCTTAGAGGCCTGAAACCTCACACGGGTGTGGCGTACCCGGTACTGGTTCCAAATGTCAAGGGGCTCGAGAATCTTCTTCAATTACTAAAGTCCATCAAAGAAGGAGATGGAGGACGTGAGGCAGTCGACGAGATTGCCATTTTCACAGCTGCATCTGACAGCTTCAATAAAGCAAATACGAACAAATCAGTAGCCGACTCGCTGATAGAGCTAGAAAAGGTTACTCAGCTGGCATTGGACTACAAACTTCGAGTACGCGGCTATGTCTCGACGGTCATTACGTGCCCCTTTGAAGGGAAAGTTCGACCAAAAAGAGTCAAGGAGGTTGGGAAGGCACTGTTGGATATGGGATGCTATGAAGTGAGTCTACGAGACACTGTTGGTACAGGAACGAGCGAAACCGTGACAGCCTTGATGGACGAGGTAGCGATTGCATTGCCTATGAACAAGATTGCAGTACGTTTTCCATTAGAAATTCACTCCAATCTAAACTACCTTTAGGTACATGTACGAATATTACAAGACCATTGACGCGTCTGACTCTCTATAGAATCACGATACATACGGCATGGCCGTTGCAAACGTCTTGACAGCGCTCAAAGTATGTACCAAGCCCGTATATCAACGGATGATCGCTAATCTCTAACAGTACGGTGTTCGGACAGTAGATAGCAGCGGTAAGTTTACACCAATCGCTTACCAATCGCTCACAGTCTCTAGTTGCTGGTCTCGGTGGATGTCCATTCTCTCCGGGGCAACTGGAAACGCTGCAACAGAAGATTTAGTCCATGCTTTGCACGGTGCGGGGTACGAAACGGGGGTCGACTTGCGAAAGCTCGTTGCGACAGGTGAATGGATCAGTGAAGTGCTTGGTAGAAGAAACGAGAGTCGTGCTGGGCGCGGGTGGAGTGCACGGTGGAAGCGAGAGGAGACGAAGAAGGCTGCTTGAAGCATATACATGAGTGAAACTATAGAAATCATAGTTGGTCTATTACTACCACGTGTAAAGAGGCAAAAGGTAGTGCCAAACGTCAAATTTATGTGGTGGCAGTCAAAATACTTGGAATCGCCGACCTCTGCCATTGTACCAATGGCCGCCCGAAAAGCCACTGCCAGGATGGAAATTGATTGTATGTCTACTATCATGAAATTTCGACGCTCCGAGTCGGAAAAGTGACCAACCGACAGCGGCGCAACTTCAGGCATGGCACCTGGCCTATGCTTCTCTCTCCGAACTCGCCAAAATACCAGATGTGTCGGACGCACTGAGTCGCGCAAACAAGTATCTACAGCAATTTCAACTTGAATACCATGCCCAGGACCAAACAGCGTCAGAGCTCAAGCCGACGAGAAACAAGGTCAAGAAGGAGATTGGCGAGATTCGGGAACATTCACGGATGGAAATAGAGTACGTCCTATTTGTCGGACCAACATTGGACTTTTGTTTCAACGTGCCTAATAGACGGTGCGACAAAGCGCTGGAGCAGTTACAAAAGATTGCGTCTTCCCGGACGAGTGTGGACACATCTTCTTCACAAACAGGTACCGTCACTCTACAGATTCTTCATTTTTCACGCCATATCTGTCTCCAGACGGCCGTCCGAAGAGGACACGGGAATCGTCAATGGCCCCACAACAAACCTCCACGGCATCAAATATCGCGTCTAACGCCTCGAGTGCAGCACAAAACAGTCTGACGCTCGTCTTGCGTCCGCCTCTTCCCCCTTTTTCCCAAGAGGTGTGGATGCGAATACAAAAGCAACTTCCGCTACAACCCGGACGCAAAGTGGCTTTCCGCGTACCGTCAGATAAGACGGGAAAATCTTCTGTATCGCCCACGGGGAACGAAGGTGTTGGATACGAGGAGGATGCGTGGATATTGGCGACGGTGTTTAAGGCCGAGAAGAAGGACAAGCAAGTATTCCTAATCTCCAAGAAACCGACTCTAATATGACGAGCAGATACATTGTCCAGGATGTTGAAAGTGAAACTGGAGAACCACCGTATGCACTCACTCTTCGCTCGGGCTTGCACTGACGTCTCTCAGGAAATATACCACGACAATCAAATCACTGATACCACTACCAATTGTGGATACCTCGCCATCCGATCCATCACATCTAGGCGCATACCCGGAATACCAAAGTGGGAGTATCGTCCTTGCTCTCTTCCCAGATACTACGTCTTTCTACAAAGCAGAGGTTGTGGCATCTCCCAAAGATATACAAGTAGCAGGCAACAGGGTGAGTGCTCTCCAGCGATCATCGTTGATCACGAAGGCTGAGCAGACGTAGACTGCGCCTGCGGCAGCGAAGGCGACGCCTTCGTATAAAGTACGCTTCGAAGACGACGACGACCAAGTGCGCCTCGTGAGCGCAGAGGAGGTCATAGATTTCCCCGGATACTAGACAAGCCCATCTACGTGTACCTCAGGTATTATCTCTGTATCATCAAAACATTTCTATTCTACACTGTAGTTGATTAAACTGGCCCAAGGCAATGGGCTGATGATAAGACTATAGTCCGCCTAGATAGTCGCCCAATCGTTCGAGGTCGTCAACGATCTCGACATCTACACGAACGACAATGCCGGTGATTGTTGGAGACGTTGGGCTCCATTGGGATTTTGCTTTGGTCCACATATCTCCAACGGCTATGGGAGTCAGATACTTCCCGGGACGAACTTGGACCCTTTGCGGTGTCTCGAGTTGTGGTGGCACCACAGACCCCGCAATCGAGGGACTCCGTTCACTCCCAGCGTTTGCATCCTGCAACGGAACCTCGACCCGCTCCTCCTTCTCCGTCCTCAACCTCCGATACAGTGCAAGAAGCGCTGGATCTAGTGCAAAAAGAATTGCGTTGAACAGGCCGACGAAGCCGTTGAGCGTGTCGAAAAAGGTGGTAGCTTGGCTCGGCAAGTTTTCAATGGCTGTCGGATTCACTTTCGAGACGAGATCCTTGATGACCCCCGGCAGGATACAAAACATTGGGATCATGATATATCCGAGAAGCCGAAATGCGAGTGCGCGCATTGCGAGAGACCGACGCGACAGCGTTTCGCTCCGTCGAGGAACGATGGACAAACGGCGATCGGCCAAGGCGGACCAAAAGAGAGTACCCGTCGGAGATACTCTTGGGAGAAATGATTGCCGGTGATCCTCTTCGTTGGGTGCCTTGTCGGGATGGTGGGAGAGACCGGATGCGAGCCTGTTGAGGCGCGAGTTGGCGGAAAAGACAGCAAAAGTGATGGAAAGAGCGGCGATGATGAGATAGAGGATGGAAGCGAGGCACCAAAAACCAAATGTGAGGATGTATCGGACAAGAATGTCTTTGCGTGTCCTACCATCTGTGGCTATCCAACAGAAACTCCAGCTCTCGTCAAAGCCATAGACACCAGTGGCGAGAGCGGGAACACAGATGCAAAGTGAGAGCAGGATGGGAACCCCCAGGTAGTATTTGATACTCGAGTCGTCTGGTCGCTTGGAGAAGACAAAGACGAGCTGAGTATTGAGGGCGATGCAAACGGAGTAGAATATTGAAACGAGGGTAGGGAACGCGTAAAAGAACCCGCCAAAGATGGCACAGATGGCGTTGTGTGGAAGGTCGGAATATCCAAACAGGTTAATTATCTGCATGTGATTAGCTCTTGCGTCGCGGCCAGCTAGATACAGTCTTACGTGAAGCAGTCCGTCTGAAATAGTCATAGCAAGCGCGAGTACGAGCGACGTACGCTCTAGCAGGCGAGAGTTATGGCGCCGAAACCACGCATAGGTAATGATCACACAGATGCAGGCGACCAGAGAGATACTGTTGGTTATCTGGATTGGCAAGATGGACGTGGTGGAGGGTTCGAGATTGTCAAAGGGGTCGGATGTGGACATGAGAGCAAGAGGTGAGGGAGCAATCCTGGGGCAGCGACATAGCATAAAGCACCCGATATATAAGGACGTACTTGACTTCCGCGATTATCGTTGCTCCGACGGGATTGTGGCTGAGATGAAAGGTATGACTTTATCCTGTCAAACGGTCCATCTGCCTGTTAGACTTGGCAGCTTGAAAAGTGGGTTCTCGTACCCGCAGTAATATCCGTACCATCCTCACCCAATAAGCTCGCTTCGCTTTGACATGGTATTTGCCGTCGCCGCCCTCGGGCGAGCGACAGCAATCGCACTTCGAGTCTAAATCACGTTATTCGGTACCATATTTTGTTCTGGACCCATATAAGCAGAGTCTGGATGGCAATTGCTAGGCCTAGACATGTCCTACAAGTCCGGCTGCCTATATTCTGTGATAATAATCACATTTTAGCTTTATAAAGAATGAAAACGAATATTCTGAGAATTTTAGATGCTGGCATGCATGGGCGGCCCATGTTGTCGGTGGCCAAGTGTCTCCACACTTTGGTCCTTTGCTCGTTGCAGACGAGCGCAGACAGCCATGGCCTCTGTTTCTGCAGAGACTGGCTCCAAAACACGGACGAGAAAAGCGATGCAGATTGACCAGCATATGCCAGACGCCGCTGCTGGGCCTCTACCGGCGACGGGCAGAGCGGCTGCGGCATCAGATCGACAGCGAAAGCAGCCCAAAGGACCCAAAAAGACGACTGCGACGTCCCAAAATGCGCGAGAATTGTCTGCGACGACTTCAATTGCTCTGAGCGACGAGCCAGCGAGCTTTCGTCTGTCGCGGGTGCAGAAGATTGTCAAGATGGACAGTCAGTCTTCAGTGAACATCCACATTCTGCTCGCTCACATACTTTGCTAGACGACTCTGCCACGATTTCCACAGAGGCCGTCTATCTGCTCGCTCTCGCCGCTGTACGCGTTTCTGCACCTTTTTCCTCGATCACCAGTGACAATATGAGAATAGGAAGAGATAACACGTCGAATTACACGCGCTACGTTGGATGCAGACCAGACGTCGGATCCAAGGGAGATTACTGTCCCAGATATTGGTATGTACTCCACGTCTCGCCCTGTAACTCACATGGTACTGAGTACTGTATTTACAGCCCGTTCTGTTGCCGCAGCACCCTCCCTCTCATTTCTCAGCGACCTTATCCGCCAACCGTTCCACTGTCACGAGCCCTGGAGGAACGAGAACACAAGGATACTATACGACACCAAAACCCGAGGCAGTTGTCCATCCAGCGTATCCACGAGCATTTCCGGCAGCTCCACACTGCTCAGCCTCACAAACCACTCCACACCGGTTCCACGACCACCAACTCTGCTCCTAGGATGCTGCTTCCACGAGAGGGTCGTTCTGCGCCAAATGCGAAAAAGGCAAACGGCGAGCCTCGCCCTATTGCAGGTGGATCCGCCGGCCCAACAGCGGCGGTTCCGAAAGCATTTGATTACAAGAATCTACCTATGCCGCCACCACCAGGTATGTTCTTCCAGGTGCCACCTGGAGTTGATCGGAATAACCTAAGATGGGCACCTTTACCGACGACCCAAGACATGAAAACCAAACCTCTATCTACGTCGGCAAATATGTCTGCGCCTACGGTCGGCCCTAGTATACACTCACAACCGCTTACACCCGCCACACTTCCTCCACCCGCTCGCGCTCCCCTCTCAGCGGGACAGATTGGTGACGATGGAAGTCCGGAAACATCTACGACCAGCCCAATAGAGAAACATGATTCACCGTTTGATGCTGGAAACCTTCAGGGACGGACTATTTACAGTGCGAGTGACGGGGCTAGTGGAGAAATTTCCCAAGAAGCAAAGAAGTTGCGGCGTGGAAGAACGCGCGCAAGTGGAGCAGGATTGAACCCCGATTCATGAACCTCCGTCCTACTCCCGCTTGTCCCGGTTTGTGCTCATGTCGTGCTCGGTGGTGAAACTGTAACTTTTAGACGCCTGTAACAGTTGGAACAAGGCTCAATTACCTCCATGGTACTCCGTCCTCATCTGACCGCATCCACCACGCCGCGGCATAAACGCCTTTTACTCCCGGTTTCAGGAGCTCGAGATCGTGGACCTTCCCACTATAATACACACAATCTATATTCAGTTCTTCATTGCACTCTGGCTCAATTTTGTGCCCTTAGGTGCCCGCCGCCACCCTTTCTTTGCTGGAGATGAGCTCGTTTGCGGCGCTTAATGGGCCCCAAACAAGTGGATTACGAAATTCTGGAGGGGATTTGCAAACTTACCGGCCCTGTGGCTTGCCGCTGCGCTACCTGCCAATGCTCCGCTCTCGATCCCTGGTTGACACCTTCAGCTCTGGCATTTCCATTGCGCCAAACCTGGAAATGGGAATAAGCGGATCATTTTCACGACGCCTTTTTTCTTACGCTTTGCTCTCCCCCACGGCCGCTTTCTGGACCTAAACACTCTGTGAGTCGTTTCCGACCCGTCAATGACGAGATTGGACGCTAATGAAATCAAGTTCTACCTCTGCTTTCTTCTTCTACGTACCATGGCTTCTCCAGAAGGCACTCCACCCCCGGGCGGAGGGCCTGTCCAAGTGATCACGTCTACGGTCCTTAGTATCGTTACCTCCATCCCTTCTGCAACCGCGACGTCCTCTTTCGCTGAATCTACCGCGGCGTCGGTGAATGGCGCTGTACCCACCGTCGAAGCATCAACCACCAACGAGGTGCCACTCCAAGTCACAAACTCGTTTTCTCTTGTCGCATGTCTCCTTGTAATAGGGGCATACTTCTTCTTTCGTCGTCAAAACCAGCGGATCATGGAGCGTCCATCACTCGTGCTCGCGGTTTCAATGGCTACGGCAGATGCAGTCCTTCACGTATGTCTCTGGCACGAGTATTAATGCTGCTGACAGACATATAGGCCGTCAACCTTTTCGGTTATGCCGACCTCAAAGGCTTCTCGTGCGCGTTCTGGGGAGGCTTCTTCTACGCTTTTCCGACGCTCATTTCCATCTTCTACTCCTTCTGCATCGCCCTCAACACTCAACTCGTCTTTGTATTCTCCAAGCGTCCGGGGTTTACAACACTCAAGTACTACGTCTTTATCCCCATCATCGTCTCCGCCTTCATCTGTATTCCAGCACTCAGTGCCGGCGTGTATGGCTACGACGCGAGCTATGACCTATGCTGGTACGCGTCGGATGGGACGCATCAACACAAAGTCGTTGTGCGTTACATCCTCACTTTTGGGATGTGGTGTCTCTCTGTTATGGTTTACTTAATCATAGCCGCGATGACGATTATTTGGGCCGTCTTCTCCAAGACTTCCAAGATGAACCAGCTGGCTACAACGCTTTCGAGGAGCCTAGGCTCCAGTGCGCCTCGTACACCATCTGCATCTGGCCCTCATACACTCCCCAAGATCTCTGTTCGTCCGTCTAGTGGACATGCCAAGTACACTGTCCCAGAAGATATAGGCGTGGGAAACAATCAACCAACACACTTTTACACACCCACGCAGTCTGCGATTGGAGGTGCGGCGTTCAATAAATCTGAATTCGACTCAGAGCCAGTCACGCCAATGACGCCGGTCAAGTTACATCCGAGGTACAAACGGCCCTACTCGACGACGCAGAGCGGTGGGTCAGTCTCTGCGGCAGCTCAGCATCCTTCCGGTACACTCTCTCGACGTTCGTTAGCCATGCGCGCGCTCGCGCTTCGATTACTCGGGTACATCCTCATCCCCACTATCTGCATCCTTCCAGGCGTCATACAAGATTTCTTGTCCAAAGTCTCGCCACAAACCGCCGCTGGAGTTCCCGACAGCGTGACGACAATGCTAGACACATTGAACGGTCTCGTCGGACTGTTCAACGCAATACTTTTCTCGCTTGATCCAGCACTCTTGGCGTTGTATCATCAGATGAGGATGGAACGAAGGGAGAAGAAATCAATGGGTCGTCAGGCGCACCGGGATATCGAGATGGCACCCACTGGGACAGTGTACACCACACCTCCGGAATCGCCTGGCTCAAAGAGTCCACGACAATCCCACTCCGACGGCGCAGAGGGCTCGTCTGCTGATAGACACCACGGGAGAGGTGGCCCAAATGCCGTTCACGAAACGCAGACGTTTGTTACTGCCGAAGGGGAATCAGATAGTGCAGGGGTAAGTCAGACCGATCTGGGCAACGGGACCAAAGTAGAAGTTCGGACTGGCAAGTTCCTCGCACCAATCCTCGTGGGGAACAGATTCAAAAAGAGCGAGCGTGGCTTGCCATCTCCGCGCTCCATCGCTTCGTATGGAAATGGTGGTGCCGCCCTGTCCAGTCCCGGTATCGTCATCCAAGTAGAGGTCGAGGTCGATACCACAAGGGATAAGGACATCGAAAGACTGGAGCGATATCTTGGGGGGTTATAGACGACTATTCAGAGTCCTGGTTTGTGATTTTCCAATAGTAGCATCCGTGATCGCTATTCGCCTTAATTTGTACATATACCCAGCTGTACGTCGCGTTTTGCCTTCCAACTATCTTCCCATGGACTCATTGTCGCGGAAAGCTCACGGAAATGAGACTCGAAGAGATCCAGAATGCATGGGCAGTTAGGATAAATGCGCGGAGAATCTTTCTGACTATCTTTTGTAGTACTCCCCTATTGCGGATTCGACTCCGTCCCCGGGGTGTGTCAGGTGTTGCTCCCGTTTCAAACTGAATCTCGACCGCGTCCGAGAGTCTGCCACCTTGTCACCCCTTTCCAGCTCTAATTTGACACAAATCGGTTCCTCCGTCGTTTGTAGGCTATTTCCCTCTCCACACGGCTCTCCATCTGGGATTCTGCGGTAGCCTCACGATCGTGGGCCCGCTCATCGCACATCAACCAGCTACTTTTCGTCTCTCAATCGTCGAATCTCGGATTCCGGGACTTCTCAAGGTGTTTCCAGAATTCCGCCACCCTTTCCCTCATGATTGTTCAGTCGGGTATAATGGCCGTAATGACAGATGACTCACGGAAGCTCGGGTGCAACTTCAGTAGAAAGAGAAATTCCGCTATGTGTTTGGAACACTCCGTCCCCTGTGGCTTGCTGCCCGTGCTCCGGTCTGGATCTTTCGCCGTCACCTCCTGGCATTTATATTACTTCGAAGCAAATCGTGCACTTATGCCTGCTTGAAAAGCTTCTTGTAGCTTTGCTCCCCTCCACCACCAGTGGTTCGTTCGCCTCGGTCCTCTGTCACTCATTCCCGACGCACTCGCGATAAATCTTTGCCCATCTGGCGTAGTTATACCCCAATTATCTTTTCCAGATAAATAATGGATTCCGAAAATGAAACTCCATCTGGAACGTCTATCCAAGTGGTCACCTCTATGGTCCTCAGCGTCGTCACATCAGTCCCTTCAGTAACCACAACATCCTATTTCTCGGAATCTACTGTATTATCAGCTAACAGCACTTCTCCGGCTGTCGAAGCGTCGACTACCAACGAGATACCACTCCAAGTCACGAATTCGTTTTCGCTTTTTGCGTGTCTCCTCGTGATAGGAGCATACTTCTTCTTTCGTCGTCAAAACCAGCGGATCATGGAGCGCCCATCACTCGTGCTCGCCGTTTCAATGGCCACTGCTGACGCCGTCCTCCATGTACGTTCCCAGGATGAGCGAGGTGATATCTAACAATATCCAGACAATCAATTTATTCGGTTATGCTGATCTGAAAGGCTTTGCGTGTGCCTTTTGGGGAGGCTTCTTCTACGCATTCCCCACTCTCATTTCCATCTTCTACTCCTTTTGCATCGCCCTCAACACTCAACTCGTCTTTGTATTCTCCAAGCGTCCGGGGTTTACAACGCTCAAGTACTATGTCTTTATCCCAATCATCCTCTCCGCTTTTATCTGTATTCCAGCGCTCAGTGCAGGAGTATATGGCTATGATGCGAGCTATGACTTTTGCTGGTACGCGTCGGATGGTACGCATCAGCACAAAGTCGTTGTGCGTTACATCCTTACTTTTGGGATGTGGTGCCTTGCCGTCATGGTTTACTTGATAGTGGCCGCAATGACGATCATTTGGGTCGTCTTCTCTAAGACTTCCAAAATGAATCAACTAGCCACGACGCTTTCCAGGACTTTAGGCTCAAGCGCGCTTCACACACCATCCGCTTCAGCTCCTGGCACCCTCCCAAAAATCTCGATTCGCCCGTCTAGCGGGCACTCGAAATACACCGCACCAACCGACCTAGGTATGGGGAACAATCAACCGACTCACTTCTTCACGCCTACGCAGTCGGCAGTTGGAGGTGCGCCGTTCGACAAGTCTGAAGTCGACACAGAGCCGGCCACTCCAATCACTCCGGTCAAATCGAAGTCACAGTACAGGCGTACATACTCGACAGCACATAGCGGCTCTGTTCCTGTTGCGAACCACCATCCAACTGGCACCCTCTCGCGACGTTCATTGGCCATGCGCGCTCTTGCCCTGCGACTACTCGGGTACATTCTCATACCAACCGTCTGCATTCTACCAAGTGTCATTCAAGATCTCATATCCAAAGTCTCTCCTCAAACTGCCTCCAGAGTCCCCGACAGTGTGACAACCATGTTCGCTACGCTGAATGGCCTAGTCGGGCTTTTCAATGCTGTATTGTTCTCACTCGATCCGGCGCTTTTGGCGCTGTACCATCAAATGAAGATGGCACGCAGGGAGAAGAAGGCAATGGGCCATCAGACACACCGAGATATTGAAATGGCCCCCACTGGAACTGTGTATACTACACCTCCAGAGTCGCCTGGCTCGGGGAGCCCGCGACAATCCGAAGGCGTGGAGAGACACGGTTCCTCGAGGCAACGTGGACAGGGTGATATCCATGAAACACAAACATTTGTCACCGCCGAGGGAGAGCTGGAACTGGGGAGTACAAGCCAAGTGGATGAGGGTAACGGGACCAAGGTCGAAGTGCGGGCAGGCAAGTTTCTTACACCAATTCTTGTGGGGAACAAAGTCAAGAAGAGCGAGCGTGGTTTACCATCTCCTCGCTCTATCGCAGCGTATGGGAACAGTGGTTCAGTCTCTAATCCAGGTATCATGATCCGGGTGGACGTGGAGGTTGACTCGACAGCAGATAAAGACCTTGAGAGGCTGGAGAGATATCTCGGGGGGTTATAGAAGTTAGGCGTTGCTTGTGATGGCTCAACAGTAGTATTCGTGATCTCTATTCACCGTAATTTGTGCATATACTCATCTGTATCGGCTTTCAGAAGTGTGGATATAAGCTAACGTGCGCCCCTGTGGCGAAGTGGAGGTTTGCCCTGTTTCAAGTGAACCTCGATCGTGTCCAAAAAATGTTACGCCATCTTTCCAGCCTAACTTGACACAATCAGTCTCTCGTTTGTTTATAGGCTGTTTTGCTTGTCCAAACGGCCTCCAGTACTGGTGCCCCCAACCTCTGATCATGGATCCTCTCATCGAGCCAAGAGCTCTTGTCGGTCTCATATCTAACTCTCGGATTCAACTTGACAAAACGCAAATTCTCTAATGGTCTTAAATTTGGAACACTCTGCGCCCTGGTCCCTGATGTTACTCCTTTGTTCCTGGCAATTATATTGCAACGGATCAAGACCCGTACTAAGGGCTCCTCGGAACCTTACTTGCTGCCTCTTGCTTCTCCCCAGGTGTCCTGTTTCGTTTATCTCAACCCTCAGTAGCACATCATAGTAAAACTTCGCCTGTTTAGCATAGATATTCTCCAGCTACCTTTCACAATGAGCAGTGGGCTCTCCGGATATGACCTTCCTCCTGACGGAGCACCGATTCAAGTGGTCACCTCAATAGTCCTGATTACCGTCGTCAACCCGATTCCTACTGCCACAGCAACACCCTATCTCACTGACTCTACTGCGGTACTAACCAATAGTACTATCCCCATCCGCGATGCACCTACCACCAATGATATCCCACTCCAAGTCACAAACTCGGTTTCACTCGTTGCATGTATTCTAGTGATAGGGACATATTTTATCTTCCTTCGCCAGAACCAGCGGATTATGGAGCGTCCTTCACTCGTGCTTGCTGTTTCAATGGCCGCTGCAGACGCCGTCCTCCATGTACGCTTCCAACACCGGCGAGATGGTGACTAATGATTTCCAGGCGATAAACCTCTTTGGATACACTGACCTGAAAGGCTTTGCGTGTGCTTTTTGGGGAGGCTTCTTCTATGCATTCCCCACCCTCATTTCCATCTTCTACTCCTTTTGCATCGCCCTCAACACTCAACTCGTCTTTGTATTCTCCAAGCGTCCAGGATGCACGACACTCAAGTATTACATCTTCCTGCCCATCATCGTTTCCGCCTTCATCTGCATCCCCGCGCTCAGCGCCGGAGTATATGGCTACGATGCAAACTACGACTTTTGCTGGTATGCATCGGACGGAATACATCAACGCAAGGTTGTCATAAGCTATATGCTGACGTTTGGGATATGGTGTCTGGCCGTCACGGTGTACTTGGTAATAGCCGCAGTTACGATCATTTGGGTCGTCTTCTCCAAGACCTCCGAGTTGAACTACCTGGCTACATCGCTTCCTTGGAGTATAGACTCCACTGCGTCTAGTACGCAATTCGAATCAGCGCCTGATGATGATGCAAACTTCTCCATTCATGCATCTCGCGGGCACTCCAGTACATCCGCCTCTGATGGTTCCCCTTCAGATACCTCTCATCAGATGTCAATTGGACACTCTAGCCCCGCCATTAGAGACGGTCTAGGTATGGCGGATGATCAATTGCCTCGCCTCTTTGGGCCTACACCGTTGATAATTGGAGATGCGGCGTTCAATCAATCAGAGAATGTGTCGGAGCCGATTTCACCAATCGCATGGGTCAATTTCTGGTCAAATTTCATGCGCGGCTCGTCAGCGACTCACGGTGGGTCAGCATCCCAGTCATCCCAACGTCCTACACTCCTACGACGTTCGCTGGCCATGCGGGCTCTTGCGATGCGATTGCTCGGATACATATTCATACCGGCAATCTGCATTCTTCCAAGTGTCATTCAGGACATTTTCTACAGAGTATACCCTCGAGCCGCCTCTGGAGTTCCAGACAATGTGGCGAGAATGCTCGCTACACTCAATGGCCTGGTCGGACTTTTCAACGCCATATTGTTCTCACTGGATCCGGCATTGTTGGCACTGTATCATGAAATGGAGGTGGAGAGCGAGGAGCAGAACGCGACGTATCGCTCTGATGAAACGTATCAAGGTATCGAGATGGTACCCATTAGATCGGCGTACTTCACCGCTCTCGAGTAGTCTGGCTGGAAGGGTCCACGACAAGCTTTGAAGGCTGGAGCTAGTTTGTCGACCTGCAGAGATCACGAAAGGTGGGTGGGTTTGATTGAGGGAAATTGGACCGCCTCATGATTTTCCTTTTGTTGTACAATACCTAACTGTAACTCATACTTAAGGTAGTTGGTCTAGAATATGGTCTATAGGTGCTATGGATACAGTAAGGAAGCCATGCGACGAAACGAAGATCATAAGAAACAAAATCAGACAGGACTCTGTCTCAACCACTTCCCGCCAACTGAACCTAGCGCGCTGGATGACAAAGAGACCGCATCCGAGGTAAGCCTGACAGCGCCCGTGGCCGCGGAAGAGACCAGTGTTATGGGTGACATGATGACCTTGCGCAGCGACAGTTGAAAAGGGTCCAAGCAGGGTACAGGGTTCTCCCGTTCTGATGCAGCGAATTGCATTCCAGCGCGGAGATGGTGAACAGCGTGGGTTTCGTCGCTGATGAGAAGAGCGATGACTTGATTCTGTTTCTTCTCACCTTCTACGATGATTGACGAAGATGCCGGTGTGGGTGATGAAGTTGCTAAATCGAACGGTGTCGATGCGAAGAGGGTCGAATCTGCACTTGAACATCCATTGACACCAAGTAAGAGTAATGTATCGTCGTCAATCTTGAAGAGCCTCCGTATCCACGCGAGAAGTGGGAAATGGATGGGAAGTTCTGGTACGAGATTCGGAAGTGGGGTGGTTGAGTGGCTGAAGTATGACAACGCTGACATGTTGCTGGCGTTTGTGAATTGCGAAATTGTTCGCGTTCGGAGGTGAGCGGGTAGCCACTGTGGCTGCGAGTGGTGTGGGTCGGAAAGTAGCGAGTTGATATTGGGCAAGTTTGGATCCACTTGTGATCCTCTACTGGATACGTTGACAGAGGACCATTCCCAAACTTCGACCTCGACGTCGAGACCGCTCTCTGATGGCTCACTGGCGCTTTCTAGGCCAACATCCAGATGTGCGAGCCCTAGTCCACCCTGCGTATATATCCTAACTCCCTCGTGTCCATTGGGCCCAATACTTTCCTGGATGGCTCCCCCAGCAGCCGCCTCTTCGCCTCGCGGCGCACGAAGTCGTAGCCGCCGCACGTAAGATGGCGTGCTGGTACCACTGAGGCTCAGACTCCCACTTTCTACGCTTATGGACGTTGGAAGGGATAGACTCGAGAGTGATCCAGAGGCTGGACTCTGGGGGATGGAGACGTGAAGAGGTGTCTGGGGCGCAGATGAAGGTGCAGGGAAGATAAACATGGACTGTGATTCCATTTGTTCCATTACTTCGTATGCTCCTGTCGCACTTGCTACTCCCGGTGGTTGACCTGATGGTGCACGCGATCTGACTTCTGTGGGTGTCTCGTCGCGTAATTCGGGTTGTTGAGGACGCTGACGAGAGCGAAATACCGGGAAATACGTCGTCATTTTGTAGTCTTCGACGGGCGCGTCGTAGTGGACGGGACCAAGTTTATCACTAGCGCTGACTGGCAGCGTGGCGAGTCTTCACCTTTATAGAATCTGACAAAACTCCGGTCAATGGTGTGAATGATTACTCAAGCAGACATTGAGATTGGCGGTGCAACGCTTTTCTCCCGACCACCACGTCTACCGCGCCATCGACGTTACCAAAACACCGGCTAGGCGCCCTGTAAATACGTAGGAGAGTCTCAAGATGGACAGATTAGAAGCACTGGGCAGCCAACTGTCCAAAATCACAATGTACGACATCAAGTCGGCATACAACCAGGTCGGTCTGCTTATAGAATGTCATTGCTTGAAAAGGAAAAGGAAAAGTTGATGTGAATCGATTGTAATAGGCAAAGAACATGGTCCTAAACGTCTCAGAGATGGAGGCCAAAGTCCAAGAGGCAACAAACGACGATCCATGGTATAGTTTTCGTCTCATCTGTGCCACTAAGCTTCTCATATTCCGCCAAGGGGTGCGAGCTCGACGCTAATGGGCGAAATTGCCCAAGGGTACGTCTTCTCACCTTCTTGAACTGCTGCTGACAAGGAATAGAACGTTCAACTTGTCAGTGATGCCCCGGGGAGAGTAACTATACTCATCTATCGATAGCCAACAGTTCAATGAGATCATGCCAGCTATCTACTCGCGCTTCATGGATAAGGAGGCTCGGGAGTGGCGACAAATTTACAAGGTACAGCGCTTCCATGCTCATGAGGCGATTTCGGTGCTGATATCGCATCCGTAGTCGCTGCAGCTTCTCGAGTATATCATCAAGCATGGCTCAGAGCGGGTGGTGGATGATGCGCGGTCTCATTTGTCGACAATCAAGATGCTCCGCAATTTTCATTACATTGATGAGAAAGGCAAGGATCAGGGTATCAATGGTGCATCTCTCTGCAAACGCAATGCCACCGGGGTTCTGATCATTTCTAGTGAGGAACCGCGCCAAGGAAATTGCAGAGCTATTGAGCGATCTGGACCGTGTGCGGCAAGAACGACGGAAAGCAAAGGTCAATCGAAACAAGTACACGGGAACGGGCAACGACGGAGGTGGATTTGGCAACTCGGGCAGTGCGTATCTTTCTTTCCAAGTGTTGTCTCCTTTATCAATCCTATGGAACAGGTCGATACGGTGGCTTCTCAAGTGACGATTACTATAGTGGTGGCGCGGGAGGCTCGTACTCTGGAAGTTCTTATTCTGGTGGCGGTGGTGCATATTCTGGAGGAGGTAAGCTTCCAGATCGACTATTACACGGTCTAACTATTATTGTTCCAGGTGGAAGCCGGTTCTCTGACACGCAATCGAAAAAGCAATTCGAAGAGTACGATGCAGGTGATTGGGAAGACTCCACTGCGAAGAGCTCGGCACATAGACAATCTTCCTCCGTCTCATCATCCACAAGAGCACCACCCAAAGCCTCTGGTGAGCATCTACTGGCCATTTAAATCAAGCCTAACAACGGAACCAGGACCCGAAAGCCCCGCCAAACCGGCAGTACCCGCTAAAGATAAAGCGAAGGAAGTCGACTTGCTTGGTGGATTTGACGACGACGTTTCCGCTGCAGCTCCCTCTACCCAAGTCCCAGCGGCGCACGCACCGGTAGCAGGACAAGCTACGCAGGCTGTCGACGATTTCGATGACTTTGACGATTTCAAGAGTGCGCCAACTAACAATGCCACTACGTCGACCGCACCTGCGATTCAACCAGCTCAGCCTGTGCAAAGTCGACTTCCACAAGCAGGTGGAACCGATGTATTTGCACTACTCAATGCTACGTCTTCTGCGCCAACCTCCGCACCTGCACCGATGTTCGGAGGCGCACCAGCAATGGGAATGGGGCAGGCGCCGCTAATGGCTCGGCCATCATATACAACTTCTGGAAGCGGGAGTGGAAGCGGGATGGGAATGAATGCGCCGTTGATGGCGACTTCCACAGCGACGATGTTGCCTTCGCAGTACAATCCGGCTATGGCGAATACAGGTGGACGTGCCACACCTACTCAAGCGCAGAACCAAGGTCGGGCGACGCCGACGCCTGCAGCGAAATCGAGCGCCAACTTTGATGACCTGTGGGCGTCTAGTTTGTCGAGTACGGGGCGCACGGCAACCAACTCGACCTCAAGTGGTGGTGCCGCCGGAGGTGCGGGGAAGAGTATCATGGATTTGCAAAAGGAGAAGCAGCAAGCCGCTTTCTGGGGTTCGCAAGCCCGACAGCCAGGATCACAGGGAATGATGGGTATGGGTGGTGGAGGGCAGAAACCTGCGAGTGGGGTGGGAATGGGAATGGGAATGGGTGCCTCCTCGACTTCGGGGAATAATGGAAACGGGCTGGACGACCTGTTGCTCTAATGCTTATGTGATTTGATTTCTTGGCCATCATGAGCTAATGTAAACAATCTAACGGGTAAAGTCGGAACACGCAGCTGGGAAGGCGAGAAGCAGCGAGGCATATGGAGTCCTAGTTTTTGGACCGAGCGTCGACTTGCTTCGGACATAATTTGCCAATTCGCTCCCCTATTGGCACTTGATTCTGAGTCCACGAATACCTATAATATACTCCATTCCCTTCGACACTTCGTTCCGCGCGTTTGAACCCTACATTTGGACCACGGTCTTCAATTATAACCGTCATCGACTCTCAGTAGACAAGAATGAAGGAATCAGCTCTAATTCTTGTGTTCGCATGCTTTTTCAGCATCACCAATGCACTTTGGCCCATCCCACGACACCTCCAGAGCGGTTCGACAGCTCTTACGCTGGCGAATGAGTTCCGCATCGACACTTCATCAATTCATGGCGTACCACAGGATCTATATGATGCTGTAGGGCGCACAATGACAGTGCTCAAGCATGATCACATGCAGCGCCTTGTCGTTGGTCGCGGGCCGGGTGATGATGTCGACTTGGGACGTGCGCAGAGGTTGAAACGGTTGGCACTGGAGATTATCAGCAATACCAATCACAATAGAAGCATGAACGAAGGAGATGGAAATCGAGTGATGGTAAACCCTCTCGTCATCCATCATGACCATTTGCTTGAGAATACTGAAAATGATATTGATTCTGGGGGAACCCCCTACGGCTTTCCACACTGCGAAATATATGAACACGACGGACAACTACACAAATGCAATCACCTGCAGAGCATTGCAGCCAACACCGCTCTACCTGCGGAAGAGCGCGACGAATCGTACACCCTCACCGTTCCCTCCGACGGCTCTGAGGCCCGTCTACGTGCGAATACAACACTCGGCTTGCTCCGTGGATTAACAACGTTCAGCCAAATGTGGTACACGTGGGATAATTGGACATATACTGTCGAAGCACCATTTGAGATTCTCGACGAGCCGTACTATGTGCGTAGTTTACAGTTTTCTTTAAGACTGAGCGTTGATGATGTAGAAATGGCGCGGGTTATTGCTGGATACGGCAAGGAACTTGTAAGTGAATCTCCATCTTGTGACGGCGTAAGCTTAGTGACTTCCAAGCTTTCCAATCGGAGACATCAAAAGAACAATATCTGCCATGGAACTCACAAAGGTGTGCATACAGCGTGCCTCTTCAATGGAGAGTTGATCGCCGACTATAGATGAACATATTTCATTGGCACATTGTGGACTCACAAAGGTACATCTCACTGTTCAAATAGTGATTCCGCTCTGACGGACGGTAGCTTCCCGCTCAACCTTCCTGATTTCCCCGAGCTGGTGGCCAAGGGAGCCTACTCATCATCTAAACAATACTCGACGAAAGACTTGGACGACGTAATCTCGTTTGCAGCAGCTGTAGGTCATCTTTGATTCCATCTTTACACAAACGCTGACCTTGGGCAAATTCGTAGCGCGGTGTAGACGTGATGCTTGAGATTGACACGCCAGGCCACACAGCCGCTATTCACCACTCTCATCCAGAGTATATCGCTTGTTTCGAGAAAACTCCCTGGACGACCTATGCCAACGAACCGCCTGCAGGGCAACTTCGCCTTACCGAACCAACTGTCGTCAATTTCACTCAACGACTCTTTTCTTCTACGATCAAGCATACTCCTGGCAAGTATTTTAGTACGGGTGGTGACGAGATCAATCGGCGATGCTATGAGGAAGATCCGGTAGTCAATAAAACTTTGACGGAGAGCGGCAAGACATTTGAGCAAGCCTTGGCCACATTCACGAATCGCACGCATGAGGTGCTGGTCAAAGCGGGGAAGAAGCCTGTTGTATGGCAAGAGATGGTGCTAGATCACGGTGATTTGGGTCTCCACAAAGATACAGTCGTCTTGTGAGGTTCCACTTGCGTCCGTAATATCTATATCGCTGACTATTGCCACGAATCAGGGTATGGATCTCGTCTGCCGATGCCAAGGCCGTCGTCGAAAAAGGATTCAAGATTGTACACGCACCCAGCGATTACTTTTATTTGGACTGTGGACATGGTGCCTGGGTCGGTGCGTTTCCGGATGGGAACTCGTGGTGTGATCCATTCAAAACGTGGCAAAAGGTATGTCGTCGATTCTCTCCCTCAATGGACCATCATTACTACTCTTTCCATTACTAATGCGCATTGCCAGGCATACTCATTTGACCCTCTTGCCAACTTGACAACAACTCAATCCACGCTCGTACTAGGGGGACAGCAACTTCTCTGGGCGGAGCAATCTGACCCTTTCACGCTCGATAGCACTCTCTGGCCGCGTGCGGCTGCCTCTGCCGAGCTCTTTTGGACAGGGCCAACCCATCCAAATGGGCAAAAGCCCAACGTGAAGGAGGCACTTCCAAGGCTGCACGACTTGAGAGGACGGATGGTTCAGAGAGGCATTCAAGCTGTGGCACTCCAGCCAGAGTATTGTGCCCTCAGACCGCATGCTTGCGATCTCGTCTGAGTGTAACTAATGGGCACAAATGATGGGCACAATCATGTAATAACCCACCTACATGCCAAGCTAGGTTGGTCTGAATTCCATTTTGTTCATCTTCTACGCCGATAAAGTACTCTTAGATAGTAATCATTTGGAGGTTCAAGTGTTCCAGAGAACTTTTCTACTACCTTGCACCAAATTGTCTCCACTGCCTAGTCGGCACCAGCGTCTCCGTCAGTGATGATGATCTTCCTATATCAAAAATCAGCATCCTCAACCGACGTAGGCTAGCAGATGAGACAAACCTAAACGGACTCTTCCGCCTCCTCTGCTCGTCTTGCATGCCTTCCCTGATATAATCATCAAAGCGTGATTTCCATTCTGGATGCCACCTAATAGTATTATAGTGAGATACTATTCCCTGGCACAACGAGTGTGTAGTGAAGGTTTGGAAGAGGAGAACGCGCTTGCAGATACAAAGTGTGGTATGGGATGACTCACCTGGAGAGGGCAGGTCGGTTCTCGAGTATGTCATCAGCCGCCCAGCGTATTCGGAGGCGATCGAGTTGTGGCTTGGTCTCGTTATCGGGGCAAATGATATAAAAGTCGCCAAGACGAACGCGATCCAGCATATATTGCGCCTTCAAACCAGTTTAGAGTTGTCTCGCATAATGGGAGAGCCGAACAAGCACCTACCGTCTGGTGAGCGGACCATGCGCCTGCAGGCTTTTCATCGCTATCGCCTTTTGTCATGGCGGTATATGTCCATCCGGGGCTTTTCCTTGTCAGATATATGGCTACACGATGATCTCAACGTACACAAAGAGGTGGGCTGTAACGTTTGCATGGGTCGAGTAGAGCTCATGTGCCAAACCCTCGGTGATGCTCTTGACGGCAGCCTTGGAAGCATTGTATGCAGGATTTCCTCTATAGCGGATTAAAGAGAGATAATAAGCAGAGAAGGAACGTACGGTGGGTTGGTTATGCCTTGCTTCGAGCCAGTCGTGATGATGACCGAAGGGTTCTCCTGGAGAACCATCGCTTTGACAAAGACGTGCTGGACGTTGATTACACTGCCTTCAATTAGCTCGTCGGCAGACTCCGAATGAATGCAACTCACCCCCAGAGATTGACGTCCATGACCTTTTTCCAGTTGTCGAGGTCCCCAAAAGAGGTTCCTTTGAGGCCAATTCCAGCATTATTCAATAGAACAGAAACCTGTTGATGGAGAACATCAGTACCATTTGAGAGTGGAGTGGGATAATACCTCGCCAAATGCATCAAATGCACGCTCCCGTAAACGCACGACGTCTTCCATCTTGCTAACGTCTGCGTGGATACCAATTACATGAGAGGAATCATTTGCCACTGCGGCGACCTGTGCTGTGGCCTTGTCCAGAGCCGCTTGATCATTATCGGCGAGAACAATGCGCAGCCCAAGTCTATATTTGCAACAGGTGTCAGACGAAGAGTATTGGACGCCCGATCGAGCGGTTTGACGACGAGCCGGTTTTGGAAGATTAGCCGAGGGTCGGTTCGGACGTAGGTGTTTCGTCATTTGGGCATTCGGGCGACCAAGTAATAGTACCATATTGTGTTTGACATCATTCGAGAGGATATGTCACGCATATCAGGCGTGCAAGTCACGAGGTGAAAGAGGCGAAGCAGGGCAAAACGTCAGTAGGTCACATTTTCACAAGCGAGATATTATCGCAGCCGACGAGAAAGCAAGGTGGATTGGATCGAATAATCGAAAGGAAGAGAGAAAACGCACTCTGCGAGAATTTCGGCCGTGGCGAGGCCAATGCCACTTGCGCCGCCTGTGATGACGGCAACACAGCCAGGATTGAGTGCAGGATGTTCTGCTGGGTCCTCTGCAGGTGTGATGGCGGGATCTAGCTGTGGATTTCGGCCATTAGAGTGCGACCGGAGCGGCGAGAGCTGGCGCGAGCCGGGTGCTGAACGCTGAGCCATCTTGAGTTCCTTTAGCGGCTAGCTGTTATAAGTGAAGAAGGAAGAAGAAGAAGAAGAGGGAGGAAGGGAGTTGATGATACAGGAGAGTTGGCTGTTGTGGTCGGGTCCAAGTTGCGTGCAATGGCGTCCCCAAACATTCACAAAGACGTCGGCTGGAGCCATTCAGACAACAATGTGCTCTATGGGCGCCAATTTGGTGTCCCCGTTACGAGGCCACCAATCATTGAGCGCGACGGGAAACGTTTGACATTCTCAATCAGCAGACTGGCAAACGTTGGAGAGAAAAAGGAGAGAAATGCGTGCGAATCATGGGCCCGACAGATCTCACGCCACTCCGCACAGGCCACCCGACGAAGGCGAATCAGTACGCCAATATAGACAACTTACGAAGGGACCAGAGACTCTTCAGTTCGATTTATTCGGATATAATTGTCCTAGACGAAGAATGCGTATCCCTAAGCCACGCCGTGGTTGCAAGCAGGATACTCGCTGTTTCCGGCGTAGTAAAGACGCGTTCCATCTCGCGCCAGGTCAAGACGCAAAATCTCGCTGGTTATGTAATGTCGGATCTGCATGCCTTGTACAGAATACGTCCAGACAAGCCATACCGTGTCCGTGTCTGTGTCTGTCGTATTGTCGTCGTCTGGTTCCTGTTTCTCGTCTGAGTAATAAACTATGGGGTAACGTCGATACCTGCGGTTTGGGCAATCTCCAGGGCCTTGTCACGTTCATCACCCACTGTTTCAGGGAACACTCATTCCACGCCTTTGGGATCTGACGACCCAGGATATATATCAGCACGTAACTGTGAGGAGTCGAGTCTACCTTGAGTCTGCTGCTCGACTCTATCTTCCATCGTTGTTGGTTATCGTCTGCTTGGGGCGGGAGAAGCTGGCGATGCTATTTGGCCCGTCGCGATCGGCCAAACAGATGCCGACTGCTGCCAAATCTGGAGAATGAAATTGCTAAATAGTCTAGACTAGACATATTATACAAAGTTTGGCGTTCACCTCTTTCTGTTTCCTCGGAGGCATTGTTTACATTCTAGATAACATCCCAAATCAAACCCGCAGCGCTGAGCTTCATCACTTTTGCCAACTATAACGATTGGTCAGATAAACTGTACCACCTCTTGCTTTGATTCAGCGTATTTTAACGATTGCTGCAGGGAAGACTGACATCGATTAGAACTTGTTTCGTAAGTCCACGGCCGTTTATGGGTGCGTAAGTCTGTTTATCTTGCTGCTAGGTCTGTTATCATGTCTCCTGCGTTATAGAATCTGCCTTGCTCCACGAGAGGCGAGTTCTGTGGACTTCCTCCCTTGATTGTACTAACTGATGCATGTTTCCCATTGGAAATCCTCATGCATTCACCGTTTTGTACTATGCCTCAGAGTAGTAATTGAATCGCTTTTGTCAACCGGCAGACACGTGGGCGCCTGTCCACAGATTTCGGATCGATAAGAGTCTTCAAGATATATAGAGGCACCCTGATATGGCTCAGTCTCTCACCTCTTCGCCCTTATGGCTCTCGCAGTCGCCGTTTACTCCCTATCAGCCAGCGCCGCGTCTAATACAACAGAATGTCTTCCATCATGCGCAAATCAGTACAGGAGCCTATCTGGAATAGTCTTCAGCTGTCTCACGACCATCCTCCTGTGCATTTGGGTCGCCCTCCATCTCAATGTCCCAGAGCCTGTGGACACCCGAGGCTTGGGTTACTTGGCTCGGTTCAAGATCTGGATAAGATCCTTCTTTCGATGCATCGTGGCTCCAGTCTTTGTCACGCTAGTATTTCCAGAATGGGTTCTGGGCATTGCAGTCCGTCAGTTCATTGCGGCATCCCGTGTAGCCAAGAAGATTGGTATGCTTCAGAGAGGGAATCATTGTATAGTACTAATCTCGTTTGTAACAAGATGCTACTCGCCAACAAGGATTCTTCATCATCATGGGTGGCTTTCATCTGTTCAAACAAAGCCAAGGGTCTTTAAAGAACCAGATTGAGACTAGGAAGGAAAACGCAGAGGAGAGTAACCTATCGGTCCGAACTTCCTCGGTAGAAGTGGGAGACGGTCGAGGTAGCTGTGCACCAGGAACAAAGCCGAGCAATCCATTTGAAGAGGAGTTTGGAGATCCTATCCACCCTCTCGATGAATTCGACGTCTGTCGTCTTCTCCAGACTGATAAACTGCGCCTCCCTAATACTGCCGACCTTGAAGACAGGTGCAAGAGCGATGGACTTGCAAAGTTTCTCGTCATCGTCCAGACTCTCTGGTTTATCACTCAGTGTATTGCACGGAAAGTTAGCAAACTGCCACTTACTGAGCTCGAGGTCATTACGCTTGGCTATACCCTGCTCACAGTGGCAATGTACATCTCATGGTGGGACAAGCCATACCGAGTGACATTCCCTGTGCGTGTATATGAAACACTCCCAGAACGTACAAGAGAGCAAGAGAGGTTAAAGCAGAGGATGGAAGAAGCCGGCTTTTGGCGGATGGCTTTTCAGTATGCCATGGGCGCTCAGGGTGAGAACATCGACTTACGGAGTGTGAAGCGAGTTCCAATGTTTCACCCCGGGTACAAAAAAGTACAGTGGAATGTGAGCGATTTTGGTGGCATTCTGACCACGGTCTTTGTCGGGACACTGTTTGGTGCTGTCCATTTTCTAGCGTGGTCCTCTCCATTTCCATCCGATCATATGCAGTTTCTCTGGCGATTTGCGACAATTGTCATGTCTGTAGTCCCACCTGCAGCAGTGGTAGTCGCGGTCTTCAGTTTGCTAGTCGACAGACTGTCCGAGGTGCTGGGTGTCTTGATCGCAGATTCCCTATTTCTATTACCGCCCCTCTACTTTGTTGGAAGAGGCATAACAATCGTGCTTGCACTGGTGACGCTAGCAGCACTTCCACTCGAGGCATATCGAGACGTGGCATGGTCAGACTTCTTCCCCCACATTTAGATCTTATTACTGTCTCGTATGTTGTACTTTTAATCTATATTCCTAATAATTTCAGTTTTCTGAAGCCAAAGATAAATAGCTTATGGTTTCAACGAATGGATTTGATAAAAAAGCGGTTCAATCATGCCAAAAAGATGCCATAACATCCGGTGATCTCTCTCCTCCAATGTGATCGGACCAGTCATAGAACCTTTGGCGGTGGGCTGAGTCTAAAATTAGCTGGTATGCGACGATCTCCTCAAGCTCCCGCTGCTTGCTAAAGATTGTAAGCCTTGTTACTTCATACCACCATGTTTAGCTTCGAGCCGCACCCTTAACTGCGACCACAAGTTCCTGCTGAACGACTTGCGTTGGGAATCCTCTGACTCGCTGGATTCAAATGCACGATGATGACCGGCTTCATTGCCAAACCAGCGCTATTGCTCCTTACCGCTGTGCCAAGCAGGACAGTTGACACGATTGACAACGGAGACGCCAGCTTGAAGGGAGCAGATGAGCCATTCAAAGTTAAACTGACTATGATGGGCCCGCATCCGAAATTGAATGGGAGATTGATGACCCTGCTAGCATGCAACTGCATCACAGACTCAAAAATCGCACAACCATCTCCAGTTGTCACGTCGACCTGATCCCGTGATCAAACGTCAATGGTGCACGGATGAACGAGAAGTTTTCGCCGTTCCGTTGCTCGCCTGGCGCGTGCTCGTTCATTGGGTTGTCGTTCCATACACTATAGGCAAGTTGGATGACTGCTCTTGGAGAAGGGTTAACCTATGAAGACAGGGAGACCTCCCCATAGTGCAGAGACGATTGTATTCATTAGAAAGAGTGACCACTCGATGTTGCGTTGGGATCCTAGATCTCCATACTGGGCGTTCATCCAAGGAAAAAGTCAGGCTAGATCTTTCGAACGGTGTTCCTCATTGAATTGTACCTATTGAGGTGCAGCGGTAGGTTTGAAAGAGAACAAAGGGCGTTTATTTCTGCTCTGTGACCTTTGCTTTGCCATGGTACTGCATCTTCATAACAAAAGGTAATGAAGGAGGTACGATCCGAGTCGCTGAGATTCCAAGAGCGACCGCTGAAGGTCATGCAGATTTGAGATACCCGCTTGGTCGCGGCACCATCATGCCGACTACTCACCAATGTACTCCGACATGTACTAGGAAGATTTTGATCATCTACTTGTGTCGGATTAGACTTGTCCCTGGGTCGGAGTCACGGACGTCGTGATGGGTAACAGACCGCTTCTTCCATCCAGAGTCAGTCGAATGGAGTCGCCCTGGTGTGATCCCCCCCAGATATTCTTCATTGGTCACACCTAGGGTGTCGGCAATTGAACTCGGATTACTTCGTTTGAGCTTGCTGCACTGTGGAACGGAATGGGCACCTCGACATCCTTGTTTCCTGGACAGAAAGTTAGTAAGAGTATTATAGAGGGATCCTCGACGCACCGTGGTACCGCTCATCAGTAGCCTCCACTACTCGGCAGTGTCCAAGCTGTCGCTCACCGACAGGCAACTAAAATGAAGAAGAGTATCACTTACTCGAATTCCGTATCGGGGAGGTTGCTGGCCATGATTTATGTCTTCGAGAACCGGCGTCGACTGATATGATGGGCGGTGAGCGGTTGGTAGTCTCATTTAAGGTCATGTTGCGCGATAGAAACAGCGGTTTAAGGTGTAGGCCACCGCTTTGATGCGTCAAAGATCTTCCTGTATCTGGAAAAGGTCGACAACGTGACAGACCTAATGGACGACAACCACGTCTCGTGGGGTTTACAAAAGTTTATGAAATCACCCTCTTCATTGAATCTTGTGTAAAAACAGCCTCTTGCCGACCTCTATCGATATTGTTCAAAACAGTCGGTGCCAGCAACCTCGTATATATAGCAGTCAGTTTGCGTCTGTGAATCTTGACGAGAGTTGATGACTGATAAAAGTTGGTTTCAGCCAACCATGGGATGTCGACGGGACATGTCGGGCAAGGTCAGCTCCAAGTGTAGTAGCTAAAGTTCATTCGTGGATCTGGTTGGGCATGCTCGATAGGTGCCATATCATCATCGCGAAGCATCCTTGTATTGAGAACGGATTATTATAGAAGATTCAAGGAAACGTCTCAGCCTGATCGTCACAGTGCCTGGTTTTGTAGCCACGCCCTCACAACACATGCTGTCGGCAATTTGCCTATTGTCTCCTCCCTCTTGGCCGCAGTTGCTCTTGCTGTCTCTTTATCATAGAATATTTCAAATGCAGGGTAACTGTTTTCATCGCGTGGTCGAGGTTCAATTCGTGGTAGAGAACGTTCCGAGTTCACTCCAGGTGTCGAGTCTTGCTCAAGCCGTCGACGGGCGACATTGAAGTGGAATCGAACCCATGATTTGCACCGTGAAGTGTTGAGCTCTGTAAAAGAAACATGGAGAATGGTTCAAAACCTCGGGAGACTAACCTTGGTCAATCTCTTGGGACCATGCGTCGAGCACGTCTTGAGTCATACCATGTCGGAGTAGAATAGAGTGAAATGCACGATGTATGCTCATGAGTGATTGCCGCATGAGTAAGCCACCATAGTGCAACTGCTGGGTTTGTGCGACATTGTTCCCTACGTGACAAGTCTGAGTTGCGAGCGATTGATAAATGAAGAGGTTACCTTGAGCCCATGGACCAATAGGAAGAAAGTAACTTCCGCTTGCCACAGATTCCTGCTCACAGAGTGATTGATCCCATAATCCTCCACTCAGAACCTCTTGTGAGCGATCGACACTAGCACCCGCAATCTTGCACCCTTGACTAGCCTCTAGATGGTTCTCAGTGGCCAATGTAACACGCCGTGGGTATGATACAAACCCCAGTGAAGTCGATTCAACCACGAGCCATCTTCACTCGTTGCGGTGGCGTCGGCCTCATCTCCATGAACCCTTCGCATCCGCCCAATAGTTCCAGGATCACTGAGAAAATGGCTTCCCCCATCCACAATTATTAACATCCCACCAGGATTTAAGCAAAGAAACAAATCCGCGAGAGTCTTGTCAATATTTTGTATTCCACCAAGGACACAACGCATGTGTACAAGGTCGAATTGGCCATAAAAGTGGCAAAGTCCGAGGTTAATGTCGTCGATTTCGATTCGGAGATTAGAAGGGAAAAGAGACGTATCGAATGGAGTAGGTGCTAAGTCAACGCCCATGGCGAGGGCATCTGTAAACCCTGGTGAGCTTCCCGTAGTCAACGGGGGACTGAGACCTACGAGGGAAGCGTTCCGCCATTTCAAGTATCCAGCTTCCTGTGCCACATCCGACATCGAGTATACGCTTTGTGGTCCCTTCCACTGGCGCGAGGACCGCTTCGACTTGCTCTGCACATGGATAGAGTCCGCCGAGACCGATAAGATGCGCTAGATGTTGTTTATCTCTAACCATCCGTCTAGTCATCGTTTATTAACTCTTCAGGAACTCACAAACGGTTCCACTCCATGTCATCTGCCATCTGTGAGCGTGCTTAGATTGAGCAAACGATACTCACCTGACGGTAAAAGATAGGTCTCGTTCATACTGTTCCAGATCCTATTCGAGATCAATACCACCTCGCACAAACTCAAACATCCAACCTGCCGTGCATCTCTTTGACGAACAGCCGAACATCTCGTGTCGAATTATACGAGTAAAACGAGCCCTCTTCGTTTCTATTTAGCCCAGCTTCGCTTTCCGAATTCACTGGTACATTGGTGCGTACATGGCTGAACGTTCGGTCGCCATTTGAGCTCACTCCAAACATGCTTTGCTCGTACTTTGCCCGCTGGTCTTGAATATCCTCAGCTCTTTCTTCGCGTGACTGTCTTTTGGTGTCCGAGCCGTGCACTCGTCCAGTCGTGGTTGGGTTTAGGTCGGGCAAGTACGATGACATCGCGTGTCCGCCGAGTGATAGAAGGATCAGCCAAGGGCTGGAAATACTTTGGGTTTCGTTGACCTGCGAGCTATCAAAGGTATTCGTTGAGTACACGGTTCATGCACTGCCAAGGCCAGACATCAGGCGAGCAAATGATGAGGTTTTTATATTTCTTTTGGACTAGCACCATCGCCCCACAACCAACCTCGACATCAAATTCCCTCGGCACGGGCGCCTATAACACTTGAACCAGCCCAACGGAAGCCAACTTCGAAAACCCACAGTTGGGCTCAGGATTACATAAGCATACGATTCTTGACGGAACTCCAAGTGGAGAGCAAGAGTGTTTATAAAGCACAACGCGTGAGCAAGGCATAAGACCGGCCAATGAAAGCGTCCCTTGTCTATTCTTTGCCATGGAATGCGTCAGAGGGTAATTGTATTGTGTTTTGCAAACATATTGATACAACAGAATTTACCAATCGTCCAACCTCGATCATCAAAGAGCCTGATTTTGCAACCACGCTCTGAGAACACATGCCGTTGGCAGTTTCCCCATCGTCTCCTCTCTCTTAGCCCACGCCGCTCGGGCTGTCTCCTTATCGTAGAAAATTTCAAACGCAGGGTAACTGTTTCCATCGCGTGGTCGAGGTTCAATCCTCGGCAGAGAGCGTTCGGAATCTACGCCAGGAGTCGAGTCTTGCTGGAGTCGTCGACGGGCAACGTTGAAGTGGAATCGAACCCAGGATTTGCACCGTGAAGTGCTGAGCTCTAGAGAATCACGAAGAGTGAGAAGCCGCCCGAGGCGTGCAGGGAATTCAACACTCGCCTTGGTCAATTTCTTGAGACCATGCGTCAAGTACATCCTGGGTCATACCATGTCGGAGTAGGATAGAGTGGAATGCACGATGTATATTCATGAGTGATTGTCGCATGAGCAAACCTCCATAGTGCAACTGCTGATTTTGTGCAACATTGTTCCCTATGCGAAAGTCTCAGTCGCGAGCGATCAACGGCTGACGAGCGTACCTTGAGCCCATGGACCAACGGGGAAAAGGTAACTCCCACTTGCCACAGATCCCGGCTCGGAGAATGGGTGGTCCCATAGTCCTGCGCTCAACACTTCGTGTGAACGATCTACACTGGCACCCGCAATCTGACATGCTCGGCTAACCTCTAGGTCGCTGTCAGTACCCAAACGTAACGCGAGAATAATGTGGTACGAACCCCAGTGAATGCGGTTAAACCATGAACCATCTTCGCTCGTCGCAGTGGCATCCTCCTCGTCCCCATCAACCCTTCGCATCCGACCAAAAGTCCCAAGATCGCGGAGAAAGTGGATTCCTCCATCTACAATGATCAGAATACCACCGGGTTTGAGGCAGAGGAACAAATCCGAAAGGGTTTTGTCGATATCGTGTATCCCACTCTGAACACTACGCATATGTACGAGGTCGAATTGGCCGTAAAAGTGCGAAAGTCCAAGGTTAATGTCATCGATTTCAATTCGGAGGTTGGATGGAAAATGGGCTGCATCGAGAGGCGTTGGTGCAAGGTCAACCCCAGTGACAAGGGTATCTGTAAACCCACGGTGAGTCGCCGTATTTAAAGATGGCTTGAGACTTACGCGGAAAGCGTTCCGCCATTTCAAGTACCCAGCTTCCTGTACCACATCCGACATCGAGTATACACTTGGTTGTTCCTTCCACTGGCGCGAGGACCGCTTCGACTTGTTCTGGATATGGATAGAGTCCGCCGAGGCCAATAATATGCGCCAAGTGTTGCTTGTCTCTATCCCATCGTCTATTATTTGGTCTGTCTCTCATCGCTGACTCACAAACGGTTCCACTCGGTGTCATCTGCCATCTGTAAGCGTTTTTACTTTGATCTGAGGGGACTGTACTTGCCTGATGGCAAAACGTATGTTTCGTTCAAACTATTCCAGATCCTATGCGACATCAATACTGCACCGTATGGGTGAAAACACCGCACCTGCCGTGCATCTCTTTGACGAAAAGCCGCACATCTCTTGTCGAATTATATGAATAAAATGACCCTTCTTCATCCCTATTTAGCCCAGCTTCGCTCCCCGGATTCGCCGGTTCGTTGGTGCGCACATGGCTGAACGTTCGGTCGCCATTTGAGCTCATTCCAAACATGCTTTGCTCGTATTTCGGCCTCTGTTCTCGAATACTTTCGGCTTTGTCTGTGAGTGGTCGCTCTTTCGCGTCCGACCCGTGTACTTGTCCAATGGAGGTTGGGTCTAGGTCGAGAAGGCGCGAAGCCATCACGTGCGTTACTGCCGAGTGACACAAGAATCGACCGGGGGCTCAAATTACTCTGGGCTTCGCTGTCCTGCGAGCTATGACAGGTATGGGACTGGTGGTTCCTCCGCGCCCCGGACTGGTCATCGGCCGAATAATGGGGCTCTTATATCTTGTCTGACTCGCATCATCACCCGATAGCCATCCTCACCAGCATCACATTCAACTGACACGGGCGCCGATCACCTTTGAAGTCTAACCGAGTAGCTTCACTCACGGCTGGGCGCAAGGTACAAGAGCGTACGATTATGCGAGAATAGCGTACAGTACACGACAAGAGCAAACGAAGGGACTGACGGGACATCAAGTAGAGAGCGAGGCGTGTCCGTGAAGCACAACGCGTGAGTAAAGTAAGTATACAATCGACCAAAGAAAGCTTTCAGTTTGTAGATTCTTTTGCCAGAGAAGGAGAGAGAGAGCGTGTATTGTGATTGTGAAAGGGAAAGGGTAGTTGATTTGTGGAGTGAGCATGTTACGTCGAGCATCCGTTGCCATGGTTTTGCTCTCCCGCTTTTTGCAATGCCTTTTCGATGCGCTTCTTTTCGGTCCACAGTCCACGATTGATATGGAGGACCGCAAAGGCTGCAACGGCAATCACGAGTATTGCGAAGATAACAAGCAGTGCAATGAATCCGGCAATAAGTGGTGCCGGCATAATCGTTGCAGGAAGACTGAGCATCTTGCGCAATCCCGTGATAGAGGATGGTACGAATGCACTATGCCCCATCGCGAGCATGACTCGTGCCACGCCGGCTTCAAGCGCAGACACGACACCGGCACTACTAGCGGTCTTTCCTGCAGCCATGAGTCCCAGCGCCGCGCCTAGTGCAGTAACACGCGCATCGCTCGTGTACAGCACAGAGCTCAGGGCATATGTGACCGTAGAATTGGCCTGTGAGACAGTCGAGTTGTGGACGGTGTATTCACCATTGAAGTAATCGTATTCGACGTTGAGCATTTGGACACTGCAACCCATGATCACCTGGCGGTACGACCCAACCCATGCGCGCGTATTATCTCCTGCATACACGAAACCTTCGTCGCGGCCTTGGTTGCAGAGGCCTGTGGTCGAAGAGGTGCGGGTACAGTCGGTAGCAAGGACTGAGGGATCAACGTACGACGTCAGGCTAGCAAAGAACCGGAACCCTCCATCACGAGCAACACCACTTTGCGATGGAATTGCTTGGCGAGCGTAGAGTGAGTCCTCATTGCGAGCCTCGAGCGGCTCGCTAATGAACAGACCCGTCGTATTTCTCGGTCCGATGTCCCAGTACACAGGCCATCCAGATGCGGCACATGAATATGCCGTGCAAGTCTCATAGTCGATTGGGGCGTCTCCACCGAGGTGTGCTGTCGGAGGCGAATGCGTGGCCGTGCAGAGTGAAGCCGTGTCGCAATGAGGCGAAATGAGCTCGCAGGTAGTGGAAATACCAATCGTCTTTGCCGTCCATGATTCGTTATCCTCACCCTCACTCTTGGCGAGCAACGAGGCCGATGTGGCGGAAGCGTCCACAAGAAGAGCGATTTGGGCAATTTTACCGTCTGCTTGAGCATAGTTGGTGAATGCGACTGCGTTGGTCTTGGATAGTCCAGACAGCGTAAGCATTCCCTCCGTATAGTCGGTAGTGCTATTAGCTGTCGCGCTTACACCACCCACAGCAAGAGTTACGGGACCAACAGTGCAAGCAGTTCCATTTGCCATCGCGTCTTGAACGCATGCCTCTTTGAGTTCGCGTCCGTAGAGCCTTGCATCCTTCTCCGAGGCGAGTGGGATGGGGAGTGCGAGACCTCGGATCGGAAGGTATTTGGTCTTTGACAGATGATGCATGGCGAGATCGAGAGAAAGCATGCCGTAAAGGATAAGGATCGCGAAGAAGAGGACGGAAAACGTCTTGATAACCGGCCTCGAGAGGGCTTGTCTACACGCTTTCTGACGAGAGGAAGAAGAAGTTGGCTTGAAGATGTATTTGAGCCCTTGCCAGAGAGCGAAGATGGTAGCGCTCTTGAACAGACTGAGTAGAAGCCCATATTGCTCCTTGTCCATTTCTTGCCTCTTCTCCATCTCGACTGCAACGTCGCGACGAATAGGACATCCGCAAGGGAGCTTTTCTCCAGACTCAGCACCACCGCGCGAAGCATCCGCCTCATTCTGTCGGGCCCAGGAGCAGGCGACGTAGTATGCGACAATGGCCATAAGGAAAGGGATGCAGATGAGAACGAGCTTGCATGCGAGCGACGTGATGAGCAGCACGCTTCCTTGAGGAACGGCGCTGATGATGATCCATCGCGTCCACTCGACTTTGGACATGCGAAGGTATCCATAGAGGAACGCAGCCATGGCAAGTACGAGGATAACAATCACCAAAGCGATGAGCAGGATTCGGAAAAGTGGGTTGAACATGCCCATTCCATCCAACGAAAGGTACTGCACTTCTGCAGGCTGCACGCCGCCCTTTTCTGCTCGACGACAGTAGCCCCAGCATGTAGCGGATGCAGTGACTGGTGGGACAGCGTTGCTTGGACGGCGTAAAGGCTGGCGTGGGTCCTCTGTATGCTGAGGGGTCGCAGATGGTGCGCGACTGATGTACGGACTGTTGGTCACCGGGGTGACAGTGGATTCCTCTTCTTTGTCCTCGACAGGTTTCAGGGGCTCCTGATATTGTCTCGGAAGCGCCGGAACTGGTGGAACTCGCTCGTCGGAGTGATATTTGGACCACAGATGCTCAGTAGAATCACCGGCGACCGTAGTGGCGAATTCGCTTTGAGAGGCAGACGCAGCGGTCACTCCACCCATACTTTGACTAAAGCTTAGCCGGTGGTAAAACTGTTCTGGGTTCTGGCGGCCATACTGAGACGTCGATGACATGTCGACGACTTCGAAGACGTCAGTAGACGCACGGGTTGTCGACGTGAGGGCGCGCGGGCGGCTGACAGGCGGGAAGGGATGGGGCTTATTATTGGCGGCGTACTGTCGGGTTGGAGTGGTAACCTCTACGACTTCCCAGACCTCATTCGAGGAGTGTGTAGTTCCAGAAAGGGCCCTCACTCGACCAGAACTGGATATTTGGGACACATCCTGGTGAGTCAAAGTCGTCTCAATCAGCTCGGTCCCTATTAGTCATCAGCATCAGACATTCGGCGTCCGGTTGGCGTACCGTGGCAGGTGTCGACGGTAATAGCATGATCGCTCCGTTCGACCGGTTGCTGCTTTACGACCTCGATGGTGGTCGATGTTTCTTCCGCCGAGACTTCGACTACAGGTTTGCGTGCTTCTACAACTTGGACAATCGTTGCCGAGGCTTCTGCCGCCGGTATCTCGACAATCGAAGTCGATTCGATTGTTTCGACGGCATGAGTAGGGAAGATTTGAATGGTTTCAGTTTCGGCTGGGTGACTGTATGAGATTTCGACCACTTCCGTGATAGCCGGAGTCGTCTCGACTTCGACTATAGTGGCAGAGGGTTCGGAGGAAGTAGTATTGATGAGTGTAGTTTCGACGATCGTCTGAGAGGGTAGTTCTACTACCACTGCCTCGGCGTCATCTTTGGTAAAGGAGTGTGTTTCCACAAGAGTGTTGCTAGTGGTGAATCTGGAAAGGCGAGGGCGGACGATATTGGGGAGTTGGACGACTTCTGTAACCACAAAGTTGTCCGTATTGGACATTGTGAGAAAGTCGGTGTGGCAGGACGAGTCTTGAACAGTCACGACTGTCTGGCTGCTATCGGTGATTTCGAGGCGCGGACGAGACGAATATTCGACTGTCAAAGACTCTGTGGCGGATTGAGCATCGCTAGTGACCAGGGTGAACTCGCTAGTGTCTGCGCTGGTCACTAGGCGGGACTGGCGATGAAACGAGATCTTTGGCTGTTCAACAATCTCCTCTACTTGAAAGTAGTCGCTGGATCCAAACTGCTTGATACCAAGACTGGGGGGTGAGCTGAGGTTTGTCTGGCTCTGGCTGGACCCCTTTGAGACTGACGAGCTGAGCGAGTAGGTGCTCTTTGAAACAGAAGATGAGGACTGCTGGACCACATACTCTGTTCTTGTCGTCGTTGTCGTCGTCTTGACTGTCTTTGTCGTCTTTCCGCCACTGCTCGAGGTTGTTGTCGAAACCTGTTGGAAAGAGGTGCTTCCGCCCTCCATTGGGATTGTACAAGAAGAATGGATAAAAAGGAATGTGGGAGTGGAGACCAAGTCGCTAGTATCCAAAGGTCCGCTAAGGGACAGCTTGAGGCCGTCAAAATGTCACGGCGCGACCCATCAGCCGAAACTACCGGCGGCCTAGTTGTTCCGCTCCTTGTTTCCCTTCGACGCTCCCTTTTTTCACCCCCGACGCGCCCAGAAAAATGGCGACAATATTCGGGCAGAATGCACAAGCCCAGCCAGCCATTCTCCAGTCCGACGACGATCTCGCCAGGAGCGCGTCTCGCCCCGCCAAACCCGACACGCTCCCTAAACCACCTCCCACGAGTCCAAAGAGCGGTCTATTCCGTGTTCTACTCCGTACAGTACCAGTAATCCTCATTCTAATCGCCATGGGCCTCGCCATCTTCTTGTTCGTGTACACTTCACGCACGGCATGGCATGGACTCATTATCACGACCACCAAACCACTCGGAGACGTCTTGCTGCTGACGACGGCCGCGTCAAAGCTCGTCTTTACTGCCGTTCCCCTCCTCATGACAGCCGCTGCATATCCAATCGCAGATGCCTGGGTCAAGCGCCGCAAAGAGTTTCAGGAACAGGCTTCAGAATATGCAAACGAAAATCTGCCGCAGATCCCAGACCGCGCCGCCCTCTCGGAGATGTTTACGGCTGCAAACATTTCCGCTGCTCTCAAAGGGTCGCTGTTCCTCTTCCGCCGACCCGAAGATAAGGAGACAGAATCAGAGAAGCCCAAACCGCAACAGGACAAGAAGAAGAAGCAGGACGCTCTTTCGTACGGGACCCTCAAACAGACGGTGTACACTCTTATTGCACTGTTGGTTCTTGCCTATCTCATCTTCCTTGTCGATCTCATCCTTCACGGCACTTCCAAGGCACTCAACGTCAACGACCACGATCAATGGTCGTCTTCCAGCACTTTCACCAATACCACCGGAGACGCATCCTCTTCCAATAGTGCGACCGTCGACGGATCATCCTCCATCTCGGCTCAATACACGCTGTCGCTGAAGGGTGAATGCGACTCTCTCAATTCCACCACCCAACGTCCCTGCACCATCGACTTTGTAGAAGGTGGCGTACCAGGCTCTACGTATATCGAAGCGGCGTACATCAAAGGATACGCAGACGCCCTTGATATCATCTCCGGTACCTCTTCCACTTTCAAGGTTGCCTCGCTCGCATACAATGGCACGGGTAGCGAGGGAGAGCGTCACGTCGCTGCACTCCTTCCTCCGAATAGCGGAGCCGACTACAAGATGGACACGGTCGGGGTGTACGCTCAGTGTACTTCCATGACACAGACATGCGACTTTACGACGCAGTGTGGCGCCGCCAATGCGACAACTGTCGAGTGCGGCCAATGCAACCTTCAGGGCTATCCAAACATTCGCGCGTTCACCACCGATACGCAGCCACATGGTGTACTCAAGCGCTATGTGACCGGATCCAACGCTTGGGACTTTGAAATGAACGGCTCAAATGGGACGGACACCAACTCTATGGTCTTTCTCTTTAGCGCCGCCTTTGACACTGGTTCGGCTGGTGGAGAGCTCAAGGGAAAAGGTGGATTGTACAAAGATCGTACGTGGGGACGTGGTGTCAACACGACGTTGGACTCGACTGTCCTCGTCTGCTACACCCATGTCGTCGATTTGTCAGTACAATACACGACCGGTGCTGGATACGAGATTATGCAGCTCCAAGAGGCACAGAAGAATGGAACCATCCGCGCCGTCACAAGCGTGATTGACATGTATCAATCTCCATTCGACTACTTCTTCTCCACACTCGAGCCTTTGGCATCAGCATCACTCGCATCCTCCGAGCCAGAAGACTTTGTTAGCTCTTTCGAGCGCCTGTTTGCAAAGACATACCTCCCTTTTGCCCAATATGCCTTTACCTCTTCGTCTGGATCCACTGGAACAGGCGGCGCTAGTTCCAATACGGATGCGGATAACGCGAATGGTTTTGGAATTCTCAGCACGACCACGACGATTACCACGAGCGGCTCGAGCGATAATATTGTCATGGGCACCCAGGTCTCCGTAGCGTGGTTCCTGATTTACCTTCTTCTGCTCCTCGCATTCGTTTGCGTCGGTATCTACATCGCGATTCGCAGCGTCGTTATTCATCTGCAGGCACGATGGACCGAGGCAAAAGAAGACCACGAGAAGAGGGAACGTGAAAACGAAAAGGCAAAGGCTGCGGGTGACGATGAGGAGGAGGAGCATGTCGACGAGGACACCCGCGATACAGCCGAATGCTTTACGGACCCACTCGGTATGACCCTCAACACGCCACAAGCGCAGGAAAAGCAGGCAGCCGAGGAGAGAAATGGAAAGGGCTCAGGCTCAGACGCGCAGGATGTTGACATGCGTGATTCGGTGGAGAGTCTGAAGTTGGCTATCCCGACGCTCGATACGCTCGGGTTGCCACAGCTCCCACGCGATCAAGCCGAGCTCCAAGCCCAGTTGGACAAGGAGATGCAAGCTCATGATCAAACCCCAGAGAGGACAGAGGCTGCGAGACGGTAGAAGAAACACGGACCTCCATGTGCGTTCTTTTTCCCGGTCTGATGGTATATTTTTTTCTAACTCGAATGTAGATTGTCATTATACGTGGCTCACATTCATTGAAGCATAGCTCTCGTTACCCTACGATATTTGATAATCGTACATATGTTGTCTGTAATGGAATGCGACATTTGTCCGTTAGAGTTGCTTTTCCAACCCTCAATCCCCTCGAGCACCCGACATTCCTTGACCAATACTAGCGGTGTTGTCAGACATAGGAGTCGAGACGGAATATCATGATGCCGTTCAATTTAGTCCGTGAAGTGAAGTGAACGCACCGTTCGGTAGTCGCCTGTTGCCTACAACCATGTCGTCCAAATTGTCCAAGGCACTCAAAAAGCACGACACAAAAGCCAAGAAGACATCCAACGGATTCGTTAGACCGGGTAAAACTGCCAAAACCGAGACCGAATCCAAGAGCAAAAAGCACAGAGACGTTTCGTCGGTGGAAAAGCACCAGGAAGATAGCTCGAGCGATGAAGAAGAGGAATCTGATGAGAATGAAAGTGAAGAGTCGGATGATGTCGACGAAAAGGGCATGCAAAGACTGATGGACCTCTTGGGCGAAGACGAACTGGATGACATTGCCAAGTTGCAACTTGGGATGGTGAATGGGGAAGAGGAGGAAGAGGAAAGTGAAAATGAGAACGAAGAGAGTGGACAGGAGAGTGATAGCGACGAAATACCAGAGGAAGTCGACCTGGAAGACGTTTCGTCTGTGGACGAAGACGTCGTACCAAGACAAAAGCTACTTATTGATAACCGGGTTCGCATTTATATGGTTATTCGATGTAGCACTGATCGATTTACAGATTGCCCTAACGCGTATACGAGAAAATATCCAACTTGACCCCTCGTTTCCCTGGACAGAGACGCTCGCAGTCACATATGATCAAGCCATCGACGTTGATGTCAATGACGATCTACAACGGGAGCTAGCCTTGTGCATCTTTCCTTTTTTTTTGCCGTGGTCAATATACTTACGCCCTCCCAGCTACAAGCAAGCTCTCCACGGTGCCAACACCGCAAAAACGCTGGCAGCCAGACATAATCTACCGTTTACTCGTCCGTCCGACTTTTACGCCGAAATGGTCAAGTCGGATGCACATATGGAACGCATTCGCCAACGCGCACTGGACGAAACGGCGGGCATCAAACGCAGCGAGGAAAAGCGCCGAGAACGTGAGGGCAAAAAGTTTGGCAAAAAGGTTCAGTTGGAGAAGCTCAAGGAGCGTGAGAGGTCGAAGAAGGAGATTGAGGAGCGCGTAAAGGGCTTGAAGCGAAGTGGGTATTTTCGCCTTACTCGGGTCACCATTAACGATTGTTTAGAACGCAAGGATGCCCTGGACGCGGACGAGTTTGACGTCGAGCTTGAAGACGCGATAGCGGACCGACCGTCGAAGCGACATGCTGCAGGTGGTCAAGACGGAAAACCAAAAATGTCGCGAGAGAAGCGAGATGCAAAGTATGGATTCGGAGGCAAAGTCGGTAGGCGCTCGAAGCAGAACACACGCGAGAGTACGGACACCTTTGCAAAAGCGGGGAAACCTGCCAAAAAGGGCAAGAAGCCGGCAATGAAGCGGCTGGGCAAGTCTCGGAGAATGAAGACGGGGAGGCGATAGATCTGCATAGGTCCAAGTAGGATATCACATGAGAGTACGCGCATGGAATTCCATCTCGGACTTGCCTGTTCTAGCTCGTCAATCCACTTGTGGCTCGCATTTGCACTCTGGAAATCACGAGCCACTGCTGGCTCTAACCTTGCTCCCGACCATCTCAAGCTCGACTCGGCCTCGCGTCTGCCGCGTACAGATTTCTGTCTCTTACTCTATTTCTTAGTTGCTTGTGAGCATGGTCAGTTTAGCGTCACCGGTAGACGATTGCCGGTCTCGAAGTTGCGTGCCAAATTTTGGCTAATTTGCTCCTTTTCGTGCACTACAGGGCACAGAAACCGCCGTAGATGGTGTTCCACAAAACGAGGCTTCCGCATCATCCGCGGCGACATCGACCGCAAACTCGATCAAAGCGTTCATCGCCGGTGGTGTTGGAGGTGTTGCTGCGGTCCTCGTAGGTGAGTAATCTCCCTATCTAGAGACTTATGACATCTGTGGTTGATAAATACGCTGTGTTTGTACAGGCCATCCGTTCGACTTGACGAAAACGCGATTGCAAACGGCGAGTCCGGGTACTTACACGGGTGCCATAGACGTTGTCAAAAAAACCTTGGCAAGAGATGGGATCAAAGGGTGAGTGCACCATGTATAATGGTGGACCCTTTACTCATTACACCATAGAATGTATCGCGGAATGGTCCCTCCGCTGTTAGGTGTCACGCCCATTTTTGCAGTTTCTTTCTGGGTATGTCCCGTGCTGGGTCGTGAATTTATCATTTAAACCTTGGACAACAGGCCTACGATTTGGGCAAGAACCTCGTATATGCGGCCAATCCAAAACGCGATACACCAGCGCTCTCTACAACAGAAGTCACTGCTGCTGGCTTCTTTTCTGCGATCCCAACGACCCTCGTTGCAGCTCCCGTAGAGCGCGCAAAGGTTGTTCTCCAGGTCCAAGGCCAAGGGAATCTTCCACCAGGAACGAAGCAATACAGCGGCGTTCTCGACGTTGTCCGAGGTCTGTACAAGGAAGGTGGCATTAGGAGCATTTTCCGTGGAACGTTTGCAACCCTCGCGCGAGACGGACCAGGAAGCGCGGCATACTTTGCCGCATATGAGGTCACGAAAAAGGCGTTGGCACCAAAGGGAAAGGAGCCAGGTGAACTCAATCTTGGATCGGTGATTATTGCTGGCGGTACCGCTGGTGTCGCGATGTGGAGTATCGCCATTCCCCCAGATGTACGTACCTTGGACGTAACCACCGCTTCTTACAAAATTTCTCTAGGTCATCAAGTCGAGACTACAGTCGGCACCCCAGGGTACCTACACTGGCTTTATTGATTGTACAAGAAAGACGGTCGCGGCGGATGGAATTGGTGCGCTTTGGAAGGGATTCGGACCGGCTATGGGTCGAGTGGGTATTTTTCGTTGTCAATATGAAAGGATGATCTGACTGTCGGCAGGCATTCCCGGCCAATGCCGCAACGTTCCTTGGAGTTGAGGTGTCTAGGAGCCTGTTGGACAAATTATTCTAGTCGCCTTGTAATGAGATTGATGCAGGATAGTATATACATCACAAGGAACTGCATAATGCAAACCTGAACTCCGCCACGACCGTCGATTGCACGAATGCCACCGCTGATAGAGTACCATTGCGGATGCACATCACTTCCTACGGGTATTCCACCGCCACCACATCTAGCCTCGTCGTCGTTTGCTTTCCACCCGCTGCACGGTCTCTATTTCTGTGAAGAGTGCGACGCTGTACGATGTAATCGCTGCGTGACAGTCGAAATCTCTGGCTACTACTGCCCAAACTGTCTCTTCGAAGTCCCAAGTGCGAGTGTAAGGGCCGAAAAGAATCGGTAAGCCCCGGATAGTCTCATATGCGCGTCTAATAGTCATTTAGGTGCGCAAGGAACTGCTTCGAGTGTCCCGTGTGCACCAATACCCTTCAGGTTGTGCCCTCAGATCCTCCAGAACCACACAGCGGCGCTCCTGTCACCATCTCGACCGTTGGCGAGCCACCCTTCTTCCTTTATTGTAATCACTGCCGATGGGACTCGTTCGATGCAGGAGTCACATTCGAAAAGCCGACAGGTCTCGCTTTGCAGCTTCAAAAGACGGAGGACTCTGCCCCAGAGATCCTAGAAGTCGAAAAACTCAAGGACTACTTCGAGCCGGCACTCAAGCAGGCACAGATCAATCAACAATACCAACAGGCACTCGCAGCTGCGGCGACTGGTGGGACAACTGGAGCAGCGGGTGGTCCTGGTAACGTTGGTCATTCACCGACGACGTCGTTGAATCCGATTCACGTCGCAGCTTCTTCTGCACTCTCCCGCGAGGTACCATCGTTTAAATACTCTGGATCCTCACGAAGACCGGGCCTGGGACCCTCTTTGGCGAAGCGAGGACCCGCGCCGAGCCTAGGAAGTAACGTAAATGATATCGACCATCCAACAAAAGACTATAAACCTCGAATCACTGCCGGTACCGGTGAGGGCTTGGCACACGACGCGGAAATCGAATGGGTTTCCAAGTTGGGACTACCTGCAGGAGAAGAAAATGGGGGAGGTGCAATATCTGGTATTTCCTTCGCGCATAAGAACGAGATTGCATCTTTGGAACAGCGACTACATGCGACTCAGTACAGTTGGGCGCCAACCCATTCCCTCCGAACGGTCGACCTCAAGCCCACGAGGGTCCCACTCCGTTCAAAGAAGAGCAAGCGTTGTCCAAAGTGTACACATATTCTCATCAAACCAGAGCTCAAGGCACAGAGTACTAAATGGAAGATCAAACTCGTGGCGGCGAACTATCTTCCCAGCATCGAGGTGAGTTCGGCGACGTCTTCTCGAGTCATCTCAATTTATATAGGTTGTAATTCCTACCTTGGGGCTCACTAACCCGTCTGTAAAGCGGACAGGCAAAGAAAAGGACGCGACTCCAGAGGACGCGGCACTGGCCAACATGATGCTCCCGGGGAAAACTTATCCCTTTCATTTGGTCTTCTCTAACCCACTATACGACCCAATTAACGTTCGTCTCTCCGTTCAGCGCTCGTTTCCTCCGCCTCCAACCGGATCGACGCCGAACACTGCTCCGCTAGATCCATCCGCCGCGGTCCCTTCGCGTCGACCCCCATACGCCATTTCGCTACCAACTTCGGCATTCCCTATCGCGGCTTATGCAGAGGCATGGGAATACGAAGATGAAGAAGATGAAGAGATGCCGGATGACGAGGAGCTAGGACTCAACCTCGGGATTGGTTCTCGAACTCCAGGAAAATCCGGTTCCGGAAGAGATGGTAAAGGAAAAGCCAAGACTGTGGGAATCCTGGAGAGACGAGCAAACGTGACCAAAGTTGGTGGCGAGGTCGTCATCGGCAAGGATGGTAAAGGCGCAGTCAAGGTGAGCAAGGCATACATAAATTGTCCTTACGGATGGCTGATGAGAATAGTTCAACATGCTCGTGACGTATACTTATCGTTCGGACGACCCTGCAGAAGACAAAGCTGATACAAGCACGAGCGGTACGCCAGCCAGCAAGCTCGGCTCAGCAAGGAAGGATACAAATAGCGGATCGGGAGCTACTGACAATATGAAGACGTTTTCCTTCTACACCGTCGTAGATCTAGGGATGATAGCACCCAAGGAGATGGTGGCAAAGGTTGAGAAGCAGGAACGAAGAGAGAGCGTACAGACAGTGGGGGTTTACAATTAATTAGATCTACCTGTATCTATCTCAATGGCCAGGGTGGCGACAGAACTTTGACGCCGACTATGGCCGCGTCATTTTCTTTGTTACCACCAGAACTCAAACTTGACATATGCGAGTATCTATTCGAGCCTCTACATATGCCAGAAGACGCATATCGATGTAAAAATGTTGGGAGAAGGAGCTTTGCGGGTCTGACCGCTAGGGATCCCCAATGGAAAAGATGTAGAATGGAGGTAAAGGACAGACCAGACCTTCGAAGTCGCACAGTGTTATTCAATATCAAGCTTCGTGGAGCATTGCGGGCTTTGAGACAGTGAGTGCTTCCGTGTCCTTCCCTGGAATTATGATGACCACTCACACAGAGTCTCGCGCGAATTATACACGATCTCGAATCAAATCCTTTCCCGCGAGCTGGATATCGAGCAGCTGTCACTCCTGATGGAGATTAGCTCACGACACATTGTCTCTTCAATATCTTTTGATCCAACGCAAGTGCAGTCCGTCGCCATACATCTCGGTACTATGTTACCACCATTTCATTGGGATCAAATGATGGATTCTATTATTTATGTCCTGCGCAAGTGCGTCAACATACGGGCTATCGCGATTTATGACTTGGATGCACGGTTTGCCTCCGTAAAACCGCTTACAGATGAATTCATTCGACTTATAGACACAGGAAATGTCTCCAGATTTGGCATTTACTCGAGTAACATTCTCAATGTCGCCATCGATCAACCTCAGTGGGATAGTCTGGACATTTCCGAGTCTCTCAACCTCCTATATCGATTAATAAGTTCCCCTTATGCGTCACAGAAACTCAGACGCCTCGATATTGTTCTAGAGAACATGACTAGCGACTGCATCCCCCCGCTGCAGCGAAATCTGCCGAACCTGCAGTCATTGACTATTCGCAGGGCTATTCGTGCCCGTACCGCAGGACTTGAGATCCCATTCCGTATGGATGCTTGGTTGCCGAATGCGAATCTCACGCGGGTGCAGCTTATTCGATGCCATCCAGCCCATGCTGCGAAGATGGTCGACCTTGTTCGGCATTTTCCCTCCCTAGAGGAGTTAATGTGGGCAACGTGTGGGCACCACAACGACGTAATACCCATTTCTCGATTGCCTGGATGGAGTAATGCCAAGGACGCGCTTCCAAGGGTACGACGTCCACTGAAGCATCTCCATCTCGAACATGTCTTCCTGTGGGAACTTCATGTTCTCGGAGAGATCCCCGCCCGGTCCGTGACCGTCGCCAACATCAACGAGAGCAGAATTGTGCGAGTGCTCCATGCACCTGCGGAATGCTTTATTGGTATGGAAGTCTTAGGGGTCCCTAGTGAACAAATTTCCGCCTGTAGTTTTGTTCCCACATTTCCTCTAGGGGACGGTTGGCCAACATTGGAGCAACTGTGTACACGTCGCTCTTTGAAGTTACGTCGCGACGCCCGGATTCTATTTCCATGCTCATGTTGTACGGAAAGATTTGATATAGCGCTTTGAAATATATGTCAATACGCCTCTTCATATTTGACTTCCTTTGGTAGTAAGTTCAACCTGACTTCCTTGGACCCAACGCACGCTCGTACCTGGAACGTGACAAGTAACCACGCAAAAAGATTATAGGCAAATGCCTGCCTTTAACGGGCTGGTAGGCTCTTCGATCGACAATATCCATGTCGATCCGCCCGACCAACTAGCAGAGGCACCACCATCGCCATCCTGGGCGATTCTGGCTCCAAAGGAAGCCTGTAAATGGAAAGGATTCGGCTCTATTCGTTATCTCTTCATCTTGTGAGTCCTAAGGACGTCTGGCCACGCGCATGTGCCTCTGACCCTTGTCGCTAGTGGGGGATCGTACAGGTCTGCGTCGCAATAATTTGCGCTTCAGGCTACTGGGTATTCATATCTATTCTATAGCTCTACATGCATTCCATCAAGTTTGCCCACGCTCGAACCAACGGACGAGGAGCCGCTAGGGGTTCCATTCCCGGGAATTACATCTACAGAACCTGGTACACCAAACTGGGTGAGCGTTGGTGGCCTCTGTCCTACTTGGACTCGTCCGAGCATATTCGAACCAGTGTAAATCCCACTCACCAACTCCTAGGTCGGCCATTTTGTAACCGAATATGCCTTTTCTCCCCTTCTAGTATACAACTATGCAACCCTTGGGAGCGCAATACCGGATGTCACACTGCAAATTGACAAATACTTTCTAGGAGATAGTGGGCCGAGTTCCAAGGGCGTCCCGTGGACAGCTGAGAACTCGCTTTTCAGTATGTAGTGTTCTTTTATATGCTTGAAGGATGCATCTGACTTCTGGATAGTCACTTGGGTGGGGCTTCAAGACCTAGCGTGAGTGGCCATACTTCCCCTGACCGGGCATCCTGACCCTCAATGTCAGGATCTCCGCCGATCTAGAAGAGCCTATGGATGAATTATTCAGAGGACAGGCCAAACTTTACGCTGCAGGGGCTCGCAACTTTCTTCTTATTAATTTACCGCCAATACATCGAGCACCAGCATGTATAGGGCTCTCTTGGGTTAAAAATTGAATATGCTAACTATTATTCCTCCGCAGGTACAATCATGGAGATGTATGGAGTTGTCGACGACGATCGCGAAGCGTCTATTCTCCGCGCATCAACTCGCATTCTCGATTGGAATACATATCTTGCCATGAGGGCCCGTCTTTTCGCGTCTCCTGCACCCGTTCCCCTGACACCATTCTACGCTCCCGACCTCGTCTTCGACCCGAATGCCCGACCACCGGTGGCGACCGCCAGTCAACAAGTCTATACCGGCGCAAGTGTGATGCTCTTCTCCTGTTACGAATCCATGTCCATGATTCTCGATAATGCCAAAGCCTTTGGACTTGTCGAGACTGACCTTCAAAAGATTGGTGGTTCAATCTGGGTTGATCATATTCATCCAACGAGTGTGGTCCATGATTTAATCGCTCGAGACCTCAGTCGGTTTATTGGCAAGATCTGAATTCTCTAGCCGTCGTCCACGGGACGGGTTGGAATTTTCCCTGGAAAGTAGCGCCTCTCGACTTGTAATTCTACTCCGTATCCTTGCACAATCGACTATCCAAGATTGCTATCTCGTAAATTTAAATCATCCACTTTACCCCGGAGCCTCTTAAACTTGGCCCCCACCATCATGCCACCTTCTCGAGCAGAAAGATATAACGCCAAAGCACGGAGATCTGTAGCTGGGGCCTCATCTCATAAGAAGAAGAGACCAAAACGCTTGAACACAGACAAAGACGAGCCAACGGACCCGAATGCTCCCATCTTGGACCAGAAAAGCAAGGAAGAAAAAGAGGCAACACGTCGCGATATACTGAGGGAAGAGGCACGACCTTAACTCTCCCTCTTAATCAGAACTCACGCGTTTCTAGCTGTTGGCCCCGAATCAAGCCATCTCGAGCAAAAAGAAGCGGCGGCTTGAAAAGTATATTGTGGGTACTTGAGCGCGAACGAGCGACTAATACTGAACAGATTGAAATAGGAAAAGCAACTGAAAAAGGAGGAACGGGTTCATATCCTCCAGCAACTCGCGTACGTCTCTGTATATTCATTTCCTACCATCTCATGGCGAGATAGGGAGACTCAAGCGCAAATTCCATCCACTAAAAGTCTCAAATCCTCAGCCACTTTGGGAAGCGGTCGAATTCAGAGCGCGGCAGACCATGCAGCCATTCACGAGCATCTCCAAATTCGTGATGCACTAGGACACTCAAAGTTACAAGCAAAAGACGAAACGGATAGTGATGAGAATGATCGTGTTGATTCTGATTCAGGGCTCTCAACCCATGGGGCTGGACGAAGCGCCCCAATCATTGTTGCCGCCCATGATGGCAGTCACCTTTCGAAAGCCACGACGTCCGGTGCATCAATTCACGCTGGTAGCGCGCTTCGAAGTAATGGAAATGGCGCTATTGTACCTTCTTCTATGAAATCGCGTGGTTTGAAATCGAGGAAGGTTGGGCTTATTGTCTATCCTTGACGCTATCTGAGCCATTTCAGTTTCCATCATGGAAGGATGCGTCTATGCGCAAACATTCAGCTTCAGATCGCGAGTCATCGGACTTTGACAGCTCAGACTCGGGCTTTGATTCGGAAGGAATCAAAGGGATGGACCAGATCGTTTGCGAGGATGAAAATATGCAGCACAAGCCGTCTATCGGGTCGACTAGCATTTCAGGGCAGAAACGCCCCTTCAAGGAGTGGGCTCACGAACAGATCGGAAAAACGATGCTCACCCCTGTCGGAGAGTATCAGACATATACGAATATAGAGGCCATGAAGGAGGCCGAGGCAAATTTGGCTCCCTCCTTTAAGCGGCAAAAACATGATGACGACCTTCCACGAGGCCCAATGGGTGCAAAAATCGAGATTCCCAATACAGAATTCGCAAGAAGAGCACAAAGGGAGCAGAAGGAGCTAATTCACCGCAAGATAGTCTCCATCAGTCGATCCGACGACGTCCGTGCCGCTCGAATGCAGCTACCCATCCTTGCTGAAGAGCAGAGAATACTTGAGGCTGTACTCTTACACCCGGTCGTCGTCATATGCGGTCAAACTGGAAGTGGAAAGACGACGCAAGTCCCACAGTTCCTGTATGAGGCCGGTTACGGCCATACGGATAGTCGTAAGCAGCTCTGGAGTTCATATTAAAAGTCTCATCGCCATCTAGAGAATCCAGGGATCATTGGCATCACTCAGCCGCGGCGAGTCGCAGCAATTTCAATGGCAGCTCGCGTCGCAGAGGAATTGTCTCTACCTCCTACCATTGTTTCTCATCAAGTACGATACGAAGCAACGGCTGGCTCTTCGACAGTTGTCAAATTCATGACGGATGGTGTACTCCTGCGGGAGATGGCCGCCGACTTCCTACTCAGTCGCTACTCCGTAATCATCGTGGACGAGGCCCATGAGCGAAACCTCAACACAGATATTCTCATCGGTACCCTCAGTCGCGTCATCAAATTGCGCGCGGAGATGTGGCTGCAAGGAAAAGCAGGTGCAAAGGTCATGAACTTTATTTAAAGGCTGATTTAATTCTCAATTTCGAACAGCCACTTCGCCTGATCATCATGTCCGCCACACTGCGAGTGTCAGATTTCGTGGAGAACACAATTCTTTTCAATATCCCACCCCCGATCATTGAGATCGAAACTCGTCAGCATCCAGTGACCATCCATTTCGATCGAAGGACCCGCAGTGACTATGTGACACAAGCTTTGGCAAAGGCAGTTAAAATTCATTCTCGACTTCCTCCGGGAGGCATTCTTATCTTTCTCACGGGACAGCAGGAGATCGTTGGCCTATGCCGAAAACTAGAGAGGCGATTCGGGTATCAAGTGATACACAAAAAACTGGAGCGAAGACGACGCGAGACGACACTTCCACCTCTTCCAAATTTGTTTCCTCAACCCAAGGAAGAGATATTGTCGAGTTCGAGGGCAGACTGTGAGGTCATTTGTCTTGCTCAGGATCGCACTAACCCCCTGTAGGGGACGTGGAAGTAGAAGAGATGGAATTTAACAATCAGGCTCCAGACCTCGGGGCCGATATCGATGAAGGACGTGAGCAGAACAGCGACAATGACGCTCTGGATACAGACGAAGAGGAGATTGTGGATAGCGATAACAATTATGGAACCAGGGATAATGATATAGAAGGTATGCTTATCTGCAAGCGCCATCTCCAGCCTCTTATTCTTCAGTGCCTATGCACGTTCTTCCGCTCTACTCGCTTCTATCTAGCGAGAAGCAGATGGCAGTTTTTAAACCTCCTCCTGAAGGATCTAGGCTGGTCGTGGTGGCGACAAACGTTGCCGAGACATCCCTGACGATACCTGGCATCCGCTATGTTATCGATTGTGGACGAGCAAAAGAAGTTAGCGATAAAATTTGACCCTTATCATCACTTATCTGTTCACAGAGGAATTACGACGCTGCGAGCGGGGTTCAAACATTTCAAATCTCATGGATATCAAAAGCTTCCGCTGCTCAGCGTGCCGGAAGAGCAGGCAGGACCGGTCCCGGTCATTGCTATCGTCTCTACTCTTCGTCTCTGTTTGAACATTATTTCGACGAACACTCAAAACCAGAGATCTTACGTACACCCATCGAGGGAGTAGTCCTGCAAATGAAGTGTATGCACATCGACGCCATTGTCAACTTCCCATTCCCCACTCCGCCGGATAGAACACGATTGCAAAGGGCAGAGCTCGTTCTAACACGTCTGGGGGCGATTGAGAAGTCACTGGGCAAACGATCCAGTCAAATTACAGACCTTGGACTCCTCATGTCGGCCTTTCCCGTAGAGCCGCGCCTGGGAAAAATGCTCGCCAATGGTACTCAGCATGGGTGCCTTCCATATGTGATCGCAGTCGTCGCAGTTCTCACAGTTGGTGACCCCTTTTTGAGGGAAGAGGAGCTGGGGCTTGATGGTCAGGATAACGAGGAAAGCGAAGACCAAAGACGCCGTCGCGCTTTATTCTTTGAGAAACAGAAACTCCATAGCCAACTTGGTGGAGGGCGCAGCGATGCATTTAGACTGCTTTCCATTATTGGAGCATTCGAATATGCGGGAGGGTCTACTGAATTTTGTCGAGAACACTTTATCAGGCCAAAGGTGAAGCCTACCGTTTGTTTATGCCATGTTAATGATCTGTAGGCCATGGAGGAGATACGCAAGCTGCGCCGCCAGCTTTCCGCCATTGCAAGCTCTGTTCTCCCCCAAGCTGATCCTCAGTTTGTTGCAAAACTGCCTCCTCCGAATGCTCTTCAGGTGAACTCCTTTTTCCTATTGAGAACGTAGACTAAAAGTCCTCTTAGCTCAAGGTTCTCCGTCAGGTACTTGCAGCAGGCTTTATCGACCAAGTTGCAGTTCGAAAAGATATTGTCGAAAAGGGACCCTCAGGCAATAAATATGCCTCGTCTCGGAATGTTGCATATCGTGCCGTAGATGTAGAAGAGGATGTTTTCATTCACCCCTCTTCAATACTCTACCACCAACCACCCCCCGAATATATCGTGTATCGCGAGATCGTACGTGGAACTCGCACTTGGCTCAAAAGTACGTTTTGATCTCTTCTCTTCCCTTTTATTAAAATTGCCAGTTGTCACTGTTGTGAACGTCGCCTGGCTGGCGCAGTTGGGCCCGGCGATGTGCACATATTCAAAACCATTGCCAGTACCACCCACGGTCAAGGACATGAAACCTGGTGAAGTTCTGGTCATACCAAAATTTGGGCCTGGTTGGGAGCTTCCACCCTTCAGGCGGATGAAATAGCTCAAAAACTACGTATCGATACATTTAAATTTATTAATACATGAGACTATTTGGGTAATTTCTAACCGTGCAGACGGTCAGTGAGATGAAGGGGAGGGTTTCCAATACTTACAGTAGGTTTCTTCGGGATAAAGAGATTGGAAGCTCTTGCTCTCGGTGCTTTTGGTTGAGAGGGTAATGGGTTTCTACTTCGAATATCCGCTGACGAGTCGGTCACACCACCTGCGGTGGACCCTCGACGAAGGGCTGGTGGTTCCCGTGAAGTGTCTTCTGGGGATGATAGACGCCTTTTCGTGGGTAGTTCTGTGGCCGGGAGTGCCGCTGAGGTGGTGTCGGTCGTTGATGCGCTTTTGTTCCCTAGCGTATTCTGAGGTGCGTTCGGTTCCCTTTGAGATAATCGGGAAGATGTGGTTGGGTATTTCTGCCGATCATATCCGTCGGTGGAAAAGCGCGAGCCAGGAGGGTCGCCATCATGAACCTGGCTATCTGCGTCGGCTATACCCTTGGTAATGGACCAAAACACACCTGTAGTAACGACCCACGGGAATTGGCGTCTTCAATGATCTTGCTCCACAGCTGATCGCTCCTTCGTAATGTCGCCGCATCGCCTAGAATAAAGAGAGAAGACCTGCATCTGGTGATTGCCACGTTGATTCGCCGCGCATCGGAGAGAAATCCAATCGAAGAAACATTGGGACCAGCTCGAACACAGGAGAGAATGATCACGTCCTTTTCTTGACCTTGAAAACCATCGACCGTATTAAAGTCGACTTTCGATAGAATTTCTCGGCCATATCGAGCAATGAATGCATCTCGAAGCTTCGTTAACTGGGCTCGATACATAGAGATGATACCGATGGTGACTTCTGTTGGAGTGCGTAGAGTTGCGGAGAGTCGTTTGTAGAGCTCGAGTGCGGCTTTGACTTCCGCAAGATTGTATTGAGAATAACCTAGGTCGGCTTGTTCTTCATTTCCGCGAATGTCGAAAAGACGGTATACTCCCAAATTTGAATCGTCGTGCCAAGGTCGTCGTGTTTTGACGGCCATATCGGGACCATCCTGCAGTTTCCTCTCATAGAATAAAACGCTGGGAAGTCTGGAAATCTCAGGATGCATTCGATACTGAATGCTATCCTAACTGTTAGACAGGTGGTTGGGGTACCCAGAGCAATCATACCTAAGTAGATGGATTCGATCTGGCATGGAATCTTGCAATCGAACAAACAAACTTTATATCATCAATAATGATCATATCAGATCATAGATGACAGCACCTTCGATTATATCCCATCTTGGTGGCGGTTTGCGAGAGGACAGTCGGAGGCAATTGCTGAGGATCTGCCATATATTAGAAGGCAAGAAATCATTCCAAGTAAGCTTACCTCCAACCAAAATGCATCGTTGAGATGCAAATTTAAGGGGAATAAGGGAACTCAATTCGATTGCTTGAGCAGCTTCGTCGATTATGACGAGGTCAAACTCTGTACGGTCGATGAATTCGTGCCCTGATCCAGAGAGTGTGCAGCAGACAACGTCTGCCTCGCTGAGAATCTCGACACGGGCCTTGCGCTTCGCAGAGTCGGCAGCACGCATTCTCTCCTTCCCCTTATCCAACGCAGCGTTTAGCTGACTGGTGAGTTGTGTTCTGTTTGAAGTGAGTTCTCGAAGCTCCCGGTCGAGCTCTAAGGCACGCGCTGTGTTATCATTGACGGCTGATAGTTCCATCTGTTTCTCGTGGCGTAGCTGTTTGATGTGTGCCAGGCGACCTCGCAACGATGAAACTTCAATACTGCTATCTTCACCAGTCGATTCTGTGCCAGATAGTCGGTTTTCCACCATCCGGTCCAGTGATATATCCCTGACCCCAAGACTCATTGCGGATATCGGACCAAGACGGACGACTTGTGGCCTAGTCCTTTGACCGTCACTCTTCCAGACCCCTTCGTGTATTCTACGAGCAACCTCGTCGATTGCCGCATTGCTGGGTGCACAAACCAGCACCTTTCGAGGTATTGGCTTCTGACTAGGACCGCCCACCGTAATCGAGGTTGTCGCAGAGTCTCGTGAGGATAAAAAAGCTCCAACGAGCCCGCATATAGTCGACGTTTTCCCTGTTCCTGGAGGTCTGTGCAATGTCAAAGGCACCGTCACCCTTTGATGAGTTTACTCACCCTTGTATTAAGGAGAATCCTCGAGTGTGGAGCGACGATAGTACTGCTCTCGCTTGAGGATAGTTCAGCTTCTGCGCAGCCATCGTCCGGGATATGGATTCTTCAGTGGGAGCCGAATGAGGTTCGAGACGCGCTTGCAGGACGGAATCCTCGAACTCATAAGAGCTAAGCCCCAGAAGCGCGGCATATTCCCTATGCACGGTTGATAGACTATTGCCGATGTCAGGAAGAACCATTAAGGAGTCTAAACACACCTAAACACTCGAGTGACGAGCCATGACGACTGCAGAGCCATAGACCTCTCAAAATCTAGCTTCGCATCATCTTTGGAGTACCGAAGAGTGGCTTGCAGCCCCTCCCTAGTGTCACGAAAGCTATGAACTTTGGCAAGTGCGCGAACTCCCGAGGCGTGCTCGAGGAGAACGATATCTGTCTCCGCGAGAATACACACGGAATGGGTTGTACGCTCGATAGAGACGTCAACTTCAACCCAAATATCCGTGATCATCTTCCCAGCCACTGTGCATTGCACTTTTTCCAGATGTTCCTCCTTCGATTTCACGAGAGAATTCCAGCATTCCAAAAGCAGGAGAGGATGGAATATTTCGAGATACTGACGATGACCCCAGAAACTGTCTGGAACTGGTTTGTAGACGAACGAAGTCGAATCAGGTGGTTCTGGTCCAGTGTGGTCATAATTCCATGAGAGAATGATGCGATGAAGGGGTGTTAAATCGGGTATAAACTTTGTCTTGACTCTCTGACCAACCTCAATCCGGGACGTTTTGATGTTCCCATTCAGCAGTATTGCCCTGCGTTTCTCCTGGTTCTTCGGTTTTTCTCGTAGTTCTTGAAGCTTTATGAGTTGCTGGAAACCACTTTCACCCTCACTGTCAGACGATTCTGATGAACTCGCTTTATGGCCCAGGTCCATCGGCTTGGAATTGTCGGGCAGCTTCGTTGTGGTTTTCTTCGAAGCCCTCCTCTCTTCTATAGCCTTTTGGACCATAGTCTGGTCAAACTTTGCAGGGCCTCTCGCAGCAGTGACGCCACTGGTATGAGGTACCCGAGTGATATGTGGATAGTTCGATGGCCAGTCGAGTTTCATCTGCGTGCGTGTGCGAATGTTGCTCGGCTGTTCTCTGAACGAACCCCTAGAGGCGTTGGATGATTTTGGCTTCTGGGGTGAGAAGCTCTGACTGATAAATTCTATGTCGGAGTCTTCTTCGCCACGTAGCTGAGACATGCGTCGGATTCCCGTCCCAATCTGCGCCGAGGAGAGCTTGGTCGAGATGGTTTTGCCCTCCTTGACTTTGGGCTGATTTAGATTTCTATCCCACCGTAGAAGCATGGATTCGATCGATGAAATCAGTTCCTCTGCAGGCTTCGTGTGAGTCTCAATAAAGGCGTCAACAATCTTGAGAAATAGATCAAAGGATCTGCCCAAGAGTTCATCGTCTGTAAGTCGAAGCCATGAAACCAGAGGCTTCAGGATTCGCTCCGCGGTCTCTGCAAGGCTGGTTCCAGACGTAGAGGCCTCGATGGAACCGAGATCCCTGATGGTGGCCTCAAATACGTGCCGCTGTTCGAGCAGTTGATCTGCAAATATGAGTGCATCTCTCATCCAAGGAGTCATCTCGTGCGGGGGATATCTCCTCGCCCAGTCAGGAGTCCGCTTGATGATATCACCTGCGGCTTCACACATGACGCTCCATAGTTGGGGAAGGTGCTTCAATCCAGCTGTGTTCTTCGTTGTGAAGCTTGGATTGAAGAGCAGTCCCGAGCCTCGAGCGCAGAGGACCTCGAGAACGTCGGTGAAATGAACGACCACCACCTTTGCCGCTCGGACATGTTCCAAGTACATGCGAGATGACTCAAGGAACTGTTGAAGGCGAGTAACCATGCCGTTCAGAGTGATCTCGCATTGAAACTCTAGCAACAGGCGAAGTGTATCGACACGGCTGTCGGTATTATATGCCTGTGCGAGCAAACTCTGCGCACTATTCGAGAGTTCTGCTGCCGGAGAAAGGAGAAGAGCCACCGTAGCAGCTGCTACATCGTCCCGATGACAGAAAGCTGCCAAAGTTGCTGTAGAAGTGACGCTGACAAGCCGGAGGACGCAGCCACCGAAACCAGTTTGCATGATTTCGATGGAATCAGCTGCGCGACGAAGTTCTATGCGGAGATTCTGATTAAGAACGGGTGATTTTGATTGGGAAAGTGCATTTTCGACTCGTTCCGGGGGGATGGCAACAAGGTTGGCAGCCCTGGCCGTTGCCTTGAATAAAAAGGCATACGCTTCGAGGTCGTCACTAACTAGCGACGCACGAAGCTGCGACCATAGAACTGAATACGAGGGCGGGATCAGGATCGGATCGAAATCCTTGGTCTTCTCTGCACTAGAGATGCTACACAACGCCGAGTGGACCTGTGCTATGTCGAATTCAAGTATCTTGAATAAAAACTTGCGCGTAGAATTTCGGGCTACCAGCCATGCCGGATCATTGAACTTCTTGGCGAACGCAATGGCAAGTATGGCGGCTTGATGAACTCCAGTTGCTTCCATTATTGCCTTTTTGTGAGAAGTATCCTCGCGGTGCAGGGAAAATACCATCATTAGAGCCTTGGGAATCGTCAGAGCAACGAACCCCGTCAAGGAAGCACTTGCCCTCATAAATTGATTAAAAATCAGGGGTCTTCTGTGCCCGAAACGTTCGTGCTGAGTTTGTTCGGCGAATAGTTGAACCACTCGATGTACAAGTTCGTTTGACGTCGGTAAAACCATGGTACTTTGGAGGAATGGTTCAATCCATCCAAAGTGATTCGCCGTGGCCGACTCCTTCTCCGTGTCAAATGCACACAGGCATGGGTTATCCCTCAATGAATCGAGTGCCAGCTGAGGGAGCTCTGGTGGATGATTCACCCATGTGGCTTCTTTGCGACTCTCCAAAACATAAGTAAAGGCACGAAGGACTGGGAGAAATGCTACAAGAGAGTCGATAACCGCGGTCACGAGAGAGAATGAGCGTACCTTTATCGGTGCGTGACAAGTGACGAACGGAGAGACTGAGCAGAGTCTGAGCCGGATTGGCCTTTCCACTCTTTGAGTCGTGTGATTGTACCCTTGCTTCACATAATTCTCCAAACTGATGGGTCATTGATCCAATCGTGGCCCAGAGTGTAGACGATGGCAAGCCGTTGAATGGTAATCTGAAGGGAAATTCCAAGGGAAGAGTGATATTAAAACCTGTACTTGCATCCAGTGCCCCGACTATTGCGCTGCAAACGCGCCGCGAATAATTGTCAGTGTTGGAGGGGTCTTCCGGCGCTCTATCCAGGGATCTCATCTGAATACGAGCCCATTGCCTTGACCTCCCATCACTCTGTACGAGGAGTAACGCTAGACCGGGGGGCGTTCCCTTTGGCCAACCTACAATGGCGGCTTCTGGTAGATGTTCGAGAGCGAGAGGCCAAATCTTGGGATGCGATAGTAGGTAAGGATTATAGATGAGGTGGTAGGAAACTGCTAAAGGAAGAGCGGCCAAAGTCGAAGACTTTAGACTGTCCAAGTGGGCGAGTATCCGCTGCGCGTTCCATTCAAAGTGTACATCGAGATATGCCGAAACTCTTTCCCTTTTATATGCAGAAAGAAACCTGTCTACTATGAGCTCAAACTTCGAATCAAATTCGGTGCATGACCCACGTAGTTTGTGACTCTAACAAGCTCTCTTCCATCGCCTTGACACAGTCAGGACATGAATCCATTAGAAATGAATGTTGCTGTTTCCATTTATGAATTCGCGCGTCGTCCTGGGCGGTGGCGACGAGCTTTTGCTGAGAAAATGTCGCTATGTCCCGGAGAAGGGTCGAGCCACGGAAGCAGTACCAGTGAAACGAGTTAGAGTCTTCTTTGGGGTCCAAATAGCTTTCAAAGGCACGTTCTTCCTCTGGCAATACTCGCTGACTGACTCCAGTCTTCAGACGCGCGATTATGCGCGTCAACGACGTTTCACCGAGCTTCTGCGACGTCTTGTCTTGATTTATTGACATGACGCTGGTGGCAAGGATACGTTGACGGCCAAGTTTGTCGTGGTCAAACTTTGGATCCTACCACGATGGAACCCACCGAGCTAGAGAGGATTATGCAACACATGGAGCAAGAAAGCGCAATCAGAGAGGTCAATATGACTGGAACGAGCGATGTTGAAGACTAGACTCGCCTTACAGAAGATGCGCGACGCGATCGGTGACTTTGAGAAAGCCACGCGCGTGATGATGGCGTCGCTAATGAGCATTCATTCCACTCCAATGTCAGAAGGTACGATCAAGCTCCGGATTCGACTCCGCTCATTCGCTCATCGCGTCCAGTTGCACCATTAGTCGACTCGGTCGTCAAAGTACAAGAGACATGCCGAGGTCCCATCGCAACGATAGCAGACCTGATCCCAGAAAATCAATATTGGAGGTGCGAGTGTCAAATCCACCCTCATTGCCTGACATCGATCCAGATGGCGTGACATGTACAGTCGACACATCCAAAATTTTGTTTTCGCCGTCGCTCTCTGTGAATACGTGCGTAGTCACAGAGTGGCATCGATTCAGGACGTGACGAACATCTTGGGCAGTCCGTGTGCGACTGTGTTGCGCGCTGGATCTAACTGCGTCAGTTAGGGAAGAATGGCAGGACAGGGTTCGCATCCAAACAGAAGATTATCTCCACGGGCTCATCTCCGTGGCGAACGAACTTGTTGAGTAGTTTCATGCTGTACGGCGCGCGCATTAATGGGTCTATATAGTCTCGTCTAGCGATCAATTCGGTCACTCTGGGTGATTTTGACGAGCCCTTCAAGATTCATTCGTTTGTTGCCGACCTGTTCTCTGGGTTCTCCATGGTTAGTGCACGAGCGCGCTCTCAGTATTTAAATTGACAAGAAACCGACAGCTCAATCTGAAAAACGATGTTCTGCGCCGCAGATTTGATGGACTCAAGTATGATCTCAAACGGATCGAAGAAGGTTTGGTCACATTTCCTTGTTTTGGACAAAATTCTGATACGCGACAGTTGTCTACGATCTTTCTGTACGCAAACTTGGGCCAATCAGGAGCAAGGCCATAAAGGAATGATACCATTGGTGACCACTGTTTGATAAGTCCATGATAATTGTTGTAGTGAGCTTGATAAATCTGTATTATATTGCATTGTTTAGCCTAGCATGGTTCATTTATATCCGCTCAGGTTTCGTGCACAGAACCGAAGAAAGAATCATTATCCATGCTGGAAATGGACAATGAGCTGCAGAGTAAGTGTAGTTGAAAATGTCGGCAATAAGAGCCCAATATTGATAAATATGGGCGTTATGGGTGTGGTACGATTGATATAAGACTTGTTGACAAAGTGAATGGATAAAAAGAAGAAAGAATAACAAATAGGAGAGAAGTCTAAGTCAGACTGGCCAGCTGGAATCAGTGGTGCACTCTTGTGGGGGGTAATGCTTGCTGTTCCATCCGGATCACAGTGCTGGGAGGAGAAAGGAGGAAAATACCAAAGGTATGAGAGAGGAAGTGAAGGAACTGGGGGATGGTGAGAGAAATGGGACTCTGAGTAGGGCTCTGGGGCACCTTAGGGGCACATAATGGTTGTGCATGAACTAGGCAATCTGTGCAACAGGTTTAATGAATTGAATCATTGTGAAAAAGAATTTTGGGTGGCTTCAAATATGCTATCATCTATAAGAATTCAGGGGGAGGAGCTCGAAAGTACAGGGTTGAGGAATGAGTGTGATTGAGGGCAGGTTTGGGTGGGAGTTGGGAAAGTGAATGATTAGGCGTTATAGATAAGTGAATGGAGAGGGAAGTGTAAGTGGGTGTAAGTAGGTAAATGTAAGGAAGTGTCGGTAAGTGTGAGTAAGTACGAGTTGGTAGTATGTAAAGGTAAGTAGAAGTAAGTAAGTAAGAGTAAGGAAGTAGAAGTAAGGAAGTATGAGTAAGTAAGTATAAGTAAGTAAGTACGAGTAAGTAAGTATAAGTAAGTGAGAGTAAGTAGGGATAAGCAAGTGCAGTAAGTACGTATAAGTAAGTACGAGTTAGTATAAGTAAGTACGAGTAAGTATAAGAAAGTAATGTAAGTATAAGTATAAGTAAGTATAAGTAAGTACGAGTAAGTAAGTACAAGTAAGTAAGTACAAGTAAATAAAGACGAGTAAGTACAAGTAAGCAAGAAGAAAAGTATGTCAAGAGTAAGAAGTCCAAACAACCAAGTATGTACAGATGGGTAAAGCAAATGCGACCGAGTACCATGAGTAAGTAAGCTATATAAGCTAAGCATAAGTAGTGTTCAGTAGTACGACCAAGTACTCAAGGTAATCAGTAAGTCATAATGTCAACTTGACTCGACCTACCTTCAATACTTTCCAATCACTATTACCTGTGGTCTTACTAGACATACTTGCATATACAATATTAAGTCCTTATCTATTCTTAGTTTCTCAGCTAGCTAGTCTCTATGTAGGAGAATGCCAAACTCACAGGTGACAACATGTGAGTAGTTTCCATTGTTGTGTCTCAGAGTTGCATGGGCTCTCAATGATGACCAAGTCAATCAGGATAGTGAAATGCCATTCTTGGCATGAGATTTCAAGCATTTCTCCTTACTATGCATATTGAACCCACACCTCTGACACTTCATTCTCACTCATCCCTGCTAAGTAATCCTTACTTGGTCCTGCATATAGTTAGCTAGAAGAGTATTCTAAGCACTCATTATAAAGATTCTGGTTGCTACATGAGTTAAAACTATCTTGTTGGCATACTAGTGGTCTCAGTCTGGCTGCTGAGTGCGAACTTAGGTAGGGATATGTAAGGTTTCAAGGATTAATTCTTGCCATGCACATCAAAGCCACACCCATGACACTCACCATCCACTCTATACCATTCTCATCATCCTTTCCCTCACAGGCTCTGTTGTATCTATCCTTGTAGCAATGGCATTAGCACATGCCTAACTTTCCCATTGCTCTTTTCCTTGTTCCAACATTTACCCATGCTATGTAAGACGCTATGTACATGTCTTAACTAGCAGAGCTTCCCGTACTCCTCCCACATCAATACCCTCTGTCAATAAATAGGTTTAGACTGGTGAAGTCGCTTGTCCCTGCTAAGTAGCACTTACTTGGTGTTACACAGCCCACATACAGGTGGGCTCTCACCATGAGCCTCACAAGATATTGCTGATCTTACAGAGGGAATAATTCTAAAATAAATCTTGTTCATACTGGGACTGTCTCTACATGCCTGATATACGTATTTGAAGTGGCAGTATGACTGTGCTCACAGTCTAACAGTCTACAGTCCTAAACTGTGACCACAGCTGAAGGACTGTGAGTCCAGTTACATTACTCAGCTTAGTATGAGATAAAATCAGTCAATTACAAAGTATATCTAAGCATGGAGATGTGTGAGTTCACAGAGAGAACTCACCCGCATGTGGACTATGCAAGACCAAGTATGTTCACCAGTCTAAACCTGTTTATTGACAGAGAGTATTGACATGAGAGGGTACAGGAGGGTCTGCTAGTTAAGATATGTACATAGTGTCTTATATAGCAAGAATAAATATTGGAACAAGGAAAGAGCAATGGGAAACTAGGCATGTACTAATGCTATCACTACAAGGGTAGATACAAAGGAGGCTATGAAGAGAATGATAAGGAATGTAGTATAGAATGGGTAACAAGTGTCATGGGTGTGGTTACAATGTGCATGATGAGGAGAAATCCTTGAAACCTTACAAGATGACTAGGGCTGCCATAGCACAATTGTTACCTAGTCACCTTGACAAGGCTGTCAAATTCTATGAATATTGGGCAAGGCAAATCGAGGAATTGGAGGTCAGTCTAAAAAGTAATTGTAGAATCTGCTTGTGTATCAAGCTGCACTTCCTCAGTTAGGTAAGTGACTATCCCTTTGTTTCTTCCATTCCCCAATTGATTTCTACATTGTCTATATAAGCCATAGTACCTGCCTGTTCTCTGACTTTTAGAGTAGATTAGTACTCCTGTGTAACTGTCCTCAATATACATGTGTTACACAGGTTCTTTCTCATAAAGTCAACTTTATTCATTGTTCCTCAAATACAAAGCTTCAACTTAACATCACTTTGTCTCACTCTCTCACAAAACCTTACACTGTTAAGTCACAAGCTGGCACTTTGGTAACAACATGATAAGGGCAATGCCTGTTGCCAAATCCTATCTGGCAAAATCAAGACTGCTGCTGAATTCACAGAACCACTGGGTTCAGGCGTCTGAACAAACTATTTGCAATACACTTTGTCAGGAGCCAAGGCGTCATAGAAGGCATACTTGTCCACCATCTTTCCTGTAGTAGTATATTGAAGCCTGTCAGGGACTGTTGGAAACTGTTAGAGCCTCCAAACACAATATTAATGGACTGCTGTATGCAGTAGGTTGCTCAAATATTTGCCCTAGCTCAGGATTTGCCCCAGTAGACTTGACCAGCCAAGCCGGCCAGATACTTCATATCTCCCCAAGTCTATGCTATCCAGGATAGCCCCTTTACTCTCATCTAAATCAATAAACTTTCCAACCCTAAAGAGCAAGTCAGGCTCAAGGTGGCTTAGGCACGTGCGCTCGCCTAAATTTCGGCTATCAACTATCTCGGCGCAAAGACAAGAACAAAGCAAGCAGCACTCTTGTCTAACTCTTTGAAAAAAAGCGCTTTATGGGACGTTTTGCGTGGGAGATCGGCCCGCCGAAAGCTGATTTCATGGGAAGAAAATGAAGAGTCTGTAAAGACTTGATTACAGAATCCCAATCTGGTGCTCTCAGCCTACTCAAACAGAATACTCTGCTCTGGGACTCGACTCTCATCAGGGAAATCTGGATCTGAGCAGTGCAGACGCACTGTTATATGCTCTCCCTCTGCATGGATGAGCTTGCCTGTCAAGACAGACTGCAGGAGGTGCATATAAAGGTAATGTCCATGCATGTGGACAAACCACTGTCGTTGCAACGAGGCATCAGCCCGCTTGCAGCAAACAGAGAGAAGTGGGGATTACTTGCCTATGGCTAACATTGTGCAATTAATCGTCGGGGGTACACCCGGGTGTATGCATAAGCCTCGGCTTAGTGTGTCACTCTGGGCAGCCCTCTCTGAACGCGTCCATCCTGGTCTCCGGACAGGGGGCAGACGTGTGGTTTTTGTGAGAATCGGTTACAAGGCAGATTGAGATGCAAGAGGATAGACTAGTACGATATCTGAACGTCGCCTCAAGCAAATCGATCATTCATCACAAGGAAACTACTCCGACTTCGAAAGGTGCTTCGACACCGACTAGAGTCCCCCATCTCTCGATGGGTGTGTGAACAGTTACCTGGTTGATCCTGCCAGTAGTCATATGCTTGTCTCAAAGATTAAGCCATGCATGTCTAAGTATAAACAACTTTGTACTGTGAAACTGCGAATGGCTCATTAAATCAGTTATAGTTTATTTGATGGTACCTTACTACATGGATAACTGTGGTAATTCTAGAGCTAATACATGCGTCAAAGCCCCATCCGGGGTGTATTTATTAGATAAAAAACCAACGCGGTTTACCGCTCCCTTGGTGATTCATAATAACTTCTCGAATCGCATGGCCTTGTGCCGGCGATGCTTCATTCAAATATCTGCCCTATCAACTTTCGATGGTAGGATAGAGGCCTACCATGGTTTCAACGGGTAACGGGGAATAAGGGTTCGATTCCGGAGAGAGCCTGAGAAACGGCTACCACATCCAAGGAAGGCAGCAGGCGCGCAAATTACCCAATCCCGACACGGGGAGGTAGTGACAATAAATAACAATATAGGGCTCTATTGGGTCTTATAATTGGAATGAGTACAATTTAAACCCCTTAACGAGGAACAATTGGAGGGCAAGTCTGGTGCCAGCAGCCGCGGTAATTCCAGCTCCAATAGCGTATATTAAAGTTGTTGCAGTTAAAAAGCTCGTAGTTGAACTTCGAACCTGGTTAGGTGGTCTGCCTTACGGTACGTACTGCTCGGCCGGGTTCTACCTCTTGGTGAGCCGGCATGTCCTTCACTGGATGTGTCGGGGAACCAGGAC